ATGCTCTTATAAAATGTGTTCGTAAAAAAAAGAGTGTAGTATCTCTTACAATACTGAAGTGTAGTTGTTATGACGCTCGCCTTGTCAACGAGAGGTCGCAGGTTCGAATCCCGCAAAAGACAGTTTTGCACACAATTGTGAAGGTATTATAGGCTACGTCTGATACTTGAATATAATATCGTTTATTCCTAAAATTTACCACGGTTTCATTTGCCTATTTATATTTTATGAGCGCACATGTTGCACTATCCTAGCTAGAATCTCTGGCAATACACTGAAGCCTTCGTGCTCTAAAGTTCGCTTTGTCAACGAGAGGTCGCTGGTTCGAATCCCAAGAGAGCCATTTTCACAATTGTGAAGGATCAGTAGACAGTTACATAAATAAGTAAATAAATAAATAACGTGTATAATTAATTACTTTTATAGAATTTGTCGAACAATCCCGATAATTCCCTGAAATTTATTCTTTTTAGGTAATAAATGTAATATGGTCGAATATTGCTTGTATATAACTTCACATACAAAGACTCATAATCCACCATGGATTATGACATGGACCCGAAAAAAAATGTCACTTGAGAATAGACCCCTAGTCAAAAACCATGCCAGAATATAATTTATAACTTAAGCCTGTATTCCATACAATCGCTACGCAGTCGCCGACGGCTTTCGGTGATGCTGATTGGTTGGTCCAACCGGGGAGCTTTCCCGATTGCGTCGGTAGCGATTGCACAGTAGCGATTTAAGGAAACAAGGATTAACCATCAATCCATCGTTTATTTACATGAATTCATAGAAAAATAGGATGAAATTGAAGTGGTAATGATGAAGCGTTTTTAAAACCTCTTTAAAATTGAATTAAAATACTGAGTAAATCAATCTAAGGAGGTGTATGCCTATTGAATCATTAAATTTCGACAGAAATAGAGCTCATGTATTTAATTAAAATTGTCAGCCTCTATCTCTACAAGTCTAGCTATGCCTGTAAGCTAATCACGATTGAAGGGATGAATACGGTAACAGATACCGGTAATATAAAAAACGTATCGTTCTTACGGTTCGAATAATCAAATTAATGATAATGTTGTTCAGCTTTAATTGATTGACCTATCGAGTAAATTCATCTAGGAAATAATTCAGTGTGGATCCTTCCTGAATGATTCGATGATTCTGATTAATGATTATGATTCCAAGTGAGAAACTGAGTGGATTTAGTTACGTTTGATGAACCAATGTAATACATTCTTTAAAGAATACTAAGGACCTGGTGAAAATATTGACGTTACACCCAATGAGACGCTTACATTTAGGCCAAAAATTAATTTACACGAAGAATAAAGATCGACGCCGGGCCTATCAAGGGTAGTGACGACGGCCGCCAGTGTCTGGTGTGGTCAGTAGCCTAGTAAACATTTTGCGGGGATTGAACACCCCTGGAACTTCAAGCATTAGCATTAAAGCAGGTGGATCCAGTAGGGGAAGGGGGCCACAAACCCCCTTTTTCTCCACTAAATTTTAAAATTTCAAGGCAAATATTTAAATTAGCGCTCTCACTTATTTATTTTAAATATGTTGTGAACCCCACCCCCGTTTGAAAAATTCGATCCGCCCTTGCATTAAAAGGTGAAAATTACATCATCCATGATTTCAATAGAAGACATAGGCCTAGCAATCAAACCAAGGCAGAGAATCATTAAGAGGTATAAAATCTTTAGGCAGTCGAAAGACCGGAGAAAGTGTGGAACACATCGAATGGCTCTCCACTGCGATCTATAGGCATAAATCGCATTGTACAGGAATGAAAAAAACTAACGTTATTTTGGTTAATAATATTTTTGAAATAAAAATTTGTAAAGTAACAGTATATCATCCCAAATTGCACGAAATATAAAACTAAATTTAGATCCCTTACTGTTGGTACTTAGCGAAAATTAGTAAAACGACAATAATTAAAAGTTTTTTTTTCTCTGCAACTAAAGTGTAAACACAGTATTTCTGTAGTTGAAAGTATGAAATCATGTATATTACGAAAAACAAACATACAAACAAATAACCGAAAAAACCCACAACACTGATTTTTGCATAGGCCTGTTGAAAAGCTGGAGGAAGATTGGACTCAATTATTTTCTCTCGTCCCCGTTTTTTTGTTTTGTTTGTTTTTGTTTTTTTGTTTTGTTTTTTTGTTTTTGAATACATATTTCGATTTTGATTTTAGTTAATTGCAGTTTAAGTTTCCTAAATGGATAATAATGTTATTTATTGTTTTTACTTAGTTTTAGTTGTTTGTATTATCGCGTACTATATCTATACGTACGAACTCAGTTCTCGAGATTCCATACTGTATAAAAAGAATATTCCAGTAAGATATTGGGCGGAAACCGGTTATCAGTACCGGCAACGAAATGACATTGAACCGGAAATAGGTATTGTTATGATAGAATGGATTTGGAGATAAATTTTTAGATGAAATGATGATTCATCGTTGTTTTTGGTGCCATGCTGTTTTCCAAAAGATAAACAACTTATGTTCAAAGTAAGAATTCTTAATTTTAATTTCGTTGTACCGGAAAGAACGATGAAAATACAAGGCTTTTGTGTTCCATTTTTAGGCCTTCCATCTGGAAAGACGAGTCGCCATCCAAACCAGTTGTATGGCGCGATGGGTGGGTTCGTGTCTTCTTTGCCGAGCGACATACCACTGCCAGTTTAATAGGTTAGATAGGCTAGAATAGGTGTTACCATGTCCATGGTGGTACTGTTTTCGACGGCTAGCCTAGGCCAATGTTGTTGACCATCAGTTCTTGCATGGAGGAGTTTCTTAGTATATCCGGGGTCGTATTGTTCTGTAATGTTTTGATGAACCCTTTCTTCTTCTCTCGTTGCGTTGAAGGTCGACGATTTTTGTTTAGAAAAAAGTAAGTTGATTGTTGCTCTGTGTTGTGGTGTGTGTGTGTGATTAATTGAAACTGAACTTCTACTTCTACGATTGTACTCTGCAGAGTCCAAGGTTTGGATATTCCGCAGAGATCTTGCATAAATAAAGTGTGTGCGTGTAGATCACCAAACAACAAAAGGAACGAACATCACAAACAAAAGGAAGTAAAAAAAAGTGGATTTTGGTGAAGGAAACAAAAAAGCGTAGGCCTAAATCTAGGCCTAGCCTAGTCCTGGCCGACTTATGATGAGCATAGGCAAAATGCAAGGAAAATCCTAAGACTTAAGAGAATATTAATTATTGATATTATTGTTTTTGTTACTTAAATTTGCTACATGATGATTTATCCTCCCAGATATTAAAAAAAAGTAGGGTCTGCTTTGGGGATTATCTCCCACAAACATTTTGACTTTGCGTGATTTCGTCTGGCAGTTTCGAAAGTATGGGCCTATTTTCCAGAGCATTTTTGTGAAAATTAAGTCAAGGTTTATGTCTCTATATACTATATGTATTACACAATTGGTAATACTGTAAGTCTGTGAGGTTAAAAAGGTTTTTTTTTTACAAACTGATAGACTGATCGTGTCATTTCCGGGAATTTAAAGTGGCTAATTGTTCCACTCAGTACTGTGCAGATGATACCTCAAAAACTAGCTCAAATTTGCGAGGAAAATTGCTATAAAACTGGGTGTGCAGAATCGTAACTACTGTACTGCATAATACATTGATTATATATTAAGATTAGTTCAAAGCCAAATTTTCAGGCAAAGTCTGCGCGGAAATCGCAGAAACAGATTTTACTCTAAATTTAATTTTAAATTAAATTAAATTTAATTTAAAGATTTTTACTTTACAGTCTGGTGATTGTTAATATATGTTCCAAATATGGTAAAACTGGGAAAAATTTGGACCCCTATTTGGGAGCCCGGCCATCTCTTTGGGAACTTAAACCACTGTCGGACAACTTTAACCCCTTGTTGAAGAATTTCTGGCACCGCCATTGTCCATGACCTATGTCACAGAAAGAATCTCTAACATAATCAATGGTGCATTATGAAACAACAACATATTAACATGATTATGAAATTCAAATGATTTTCAAAGGTCAGTTAACTTGTTGTATCTAGTCGCAGTAAGTTAGACACTTTGATTCTGATTATTAATTATTAATGCTGGATTTGCTTTTGATGTGTTTGCTTCACTTACAACGACCCACTTGTAATCTGTTTTACTTTTGTGGCTTAGCATTTAATGATACAAAATTAGTCAGGTACTTCCTGTTAAAGTAGGCCTATGCTCCTAAATGGAAAAAACAAAAATTCCAGAAGAAATCCTTTCACATTATTTTTGTGAATAAATAATTTTTATGCATTTTTTTGCAGATTTTGATTTCCTGAAACTTAGTGGGCGTCAGCATGGCCGAAGACGGAGAAATTGGAATAAAAAGCGACACAGTGAAATACAGGGGACCTAAAACAAATTCTCAGGTTTGTGGGAAAATTATTTAGTCTATTGTTAATACTGATGTAAAGAAAAAATCAACTTGTATCAAATAAGAACACAATTACAAATATATGGAACCTCTAGCACACGTTGTGCTGTATGCCCTTTAGGTGAGATTTTTTTATACCTTGTTTCGCAAACATATTTTTTTAAAGATTGTCAAGAGGAGGGTGGGAAAAAAATTAAAATAAAATTTGACATATCTTATTTTTTGAGATTTCAAGCGGCTGGCGTATAAAAATAAAGAAAAATTTCCATTTCTTCATGGCAGTGGGTGCATTAGCATTTTCAGAAGATTGCTAATTTGGTGATATTTTGTTTGCTACTGATTTGGATTGAATCAGTCTTTCAGAATTATACTGTAACCTCCTCAATTCCTGTGCATTTAGAACAGACTGAATTTAATCCAAGACCATTTCAACCCAGTTACCTATTTAGGGGATGTTTTATTTTAACATTGCCATTTTCATGCGTACAAGGTCTCCTTTTACCCCCAGTTATTAGATCAAACACATTATGGAACACATACTCAGCTCCCTAAGGAGAATAACGCTTGTAATCGGCACATTTTTATGTGTTTATCAGATTAGATTTTCCATAATTTTTTCTATTTTATGTTATGCTTACCACCATTTCCTGTAAAATGTCTAAATTCCAAAAAAAAAAAATTATAATAACCAAAAAAATATTTATTAAAGTGTATTGTAACAAGGCTACAGCAGTGTACTATGTTCAAAAAGAATCATTAATTGTTATAAATGAATTGAAAACAAAAATGATGTAATTTTTTGTCATTTATATGTTGATATGAAAAATTACTGTATGCACTATAGTGTTTACTCCTGATAATTTGATAATCGTCTCTATTACTATTGATGAGTGGTAATTCGTAATTTTTTAAACTGACGGTACAGTTGCTATTAGTTAGCAGTCCCTTTTATGGTTCAACAAACTCTGTAGATATTAGATCATCTCAGGGGATTTTGTATGCTAATGAGCTATGGAATTAACAGACCAATGAAACATAAACACATTACGGTAGTTCCTTTTGGTAGCCTGCCCCCCTATTTTATGCTGGATTTTATGTATCGGCCTTTTCTCAGGCAAAATCCCAGGCTATGACTTTTTACAAATATTTTTAGGAAAACATCATTGGCTTTGAATTAGGCATACAGTGTCTACACAATTATCATTTGATTAAAAGGGGATTCCTGGGTAGAAACCCACCTCCCAAAATTGGTTCAATTTTTTTATTAAGGGGTCTGGGCAAAGAAACTATGGTACTTAGATATTTGGATCCAAAAATATCTATAGTAAAAATGTCTATAATACTTTCATTTTTACAGTATGGTTGAAATGACAGTAGGCATTTTGGATTCAAAAATGCCAACTTTCGTTTTTACAGATACCTGTAGGTTGATAACACTGGTTATTGTGAATATTAATTAGGTTTTTGAGCAGTGTCTTTAAACTTTTTTTTTTTTATAACTTGTTTTCCTGATTTTAAATGAGTTTTTTTTTAGCTTTCAACATTATTGTGGTAGCATTTTGTCTCATGGTAATCATTATCAATTGTCATCACCACCGTCATTATTATCATCATCACCATCATCATCATTACCACCACCACCACCACCACAACCATCACACATTGTGGTGGACGACCAGAGTTGCTGGTACCGGGTTACCGTGTAGCACAGACACAAAGGGACTCTTAGGGGCGAAGAAAGTAATTGATCGAGTTCCTAGTCCACATTTAAAGTGCCCTGAGCATTTTACATTAGATGGATATGTGCGCTGTATAAAACTACACTATTATTATTATTATTATTATTATTATTACATTATAATTATCATAACTTTATCCATACTACCTTTAATATTTACCTTTACATCATCATCATTTTGATCATCATCAATATCATCATCATTATCAATGTTATCCCCATTAATATCATCATAGTCATCATTATTAATATTGCCATCAATATCATCGTCAACATCATTATTGGTACGGCCATTATTTGTCAAATTCAAAGTGTCACCATTGATACTGTTTCCTACAACAAGGTATTTAAATTATTAACCAAATTGTAATAAAATATTAGTAACTTTACCATCATAATTAAATAAATAATGATTCTTAATTGCCATCACCATTATCATTATCATAATCACTACTATTACATCACTTAATGTTTGTTAATCGGCCATTTCATAATTTCATAATTGCGCATGCGAGGCAAATCCATAGTGCACAATACCTGCCTCATTATGGTGACTCATCCCATGCCATTTGTGTTATTATCTCTTTGCTCATTTTTGCCTCAACACAATTTGACAAGCTTTCCATTAAGGTATCTTGTAACAGATGGTGACAATATTAACTATTGAATAGCATCAGTTACCATTTTTCCACTACAGTCATTTTCAAAATCATTGTGTGTGAATTCTTGAGTACTCATTATTCCATGAATCTTCAAGATCAGCAAGAGTTATCAACAATTTTCATTAATCAAATTACTATCTGTGCATTGATCCTTTAAACCAATTTGGCATAGCAGGAAAATAAGGTTTTCATTATCGCCACAGTCATCGCGATGATGTTGGTAAGATGAGGGTGATCAGTTTTAATCATTGGATTGTTAACTGTCATTATCCACATCATCATTGTCATCATCATCATTGTCATCATCATCATTGTCATCATCATCATCATCAGTGTTGCCATCATCTGAATAATCATCATCATCATAATCATCAGCAGCATCATTATCTTTATTATCATAATCATCATGGTCATCAATGTCATCAACATTTTTATCATCATCAACATCAACATCTTTATCATCATGATCATTGTCATCGTCATCATAAACATCTTTATCATCATCAACATCAACATCTTTATCATCATTATCATGATCATTGTCATCGTCATCATAAACATCTTTATCATCATCGTTGTCATCGTCATAATCAACATCTTCATCATCAACTTCTTCATAGGCGGAAGCAGTCCATTACTGTAGGTCAGGCAGCCGTCTGACCAATCTTTTGCTGAGAAATATTTTATTATACTATTTTTTATAATAACATATACACAACAACATCTTTATCATCATCGCCATCATTAACGTCTTTACGACCGTTAACTCTGCCACAAGTATTATCTTCACTTTTCCTTTTTTTTTCATTTGCTAATTTTTTGCATAAGAGATAATGTTCTGTTAATGGTTTGTTCAACTATTTTAATACAGTAGTAACTTTGGTTTTTGCATCTATTACCCCCTCGGGGCACAGACACTTTGTTATCATCTGGCAGTTAACATTGTAAAAGCAAGTAAATCCGGTGGACGTGCATGATGGGTACTACTACCACGAGAGGTAGGGGGCGCCCTATTTGAAAACGAATAGAAAACGTGAAAATGCGTCAAAGAGACGCAGCACACGTTCAATACGGACGCCTTTTTATGGTATTTTGAAGGATGCCCTCTAAAACGTACTAGTACTTTTCGAGATACGGTATTGTACTGTAATAGGCAGTAGACACACGCATCTGCTGGGAGCCTATTTTTTAACTTGTTTGTAAACCATGTACAGATTGGCCTACATTTAACATAATTGATAATGAAGTGTGTTTATGACTGAGATACCTTAGGGAAGTGAACTACTTAAATTGTGTAAAATTGCAGGTGATAACGTAATGGCTAGGAGATTTCCTACACCACAAATTTCTGTTCATACAATATTCATGTTATTAATGATTAGGCCAAAAAAAAAAATTTATTAGTTACCCCCTCCCTCAATACCTTTGGGGAAATTCTGATTTTTTTTTTTACTCCAATCAACATATTTTTTTATTTCAAACGGTTGTTTTTCCATCTTTTTTCACTTGAAAAGCTTAGGATTTCTTTCAAATATGTTTACTGGTACAACAAAAACATATTTTAAAATATAAATTTGATTCCATTATTATGACTTTTTATATATGTGTCCATAACCATTGATTAACTCGTGAACATCGGTAAAATGGGGGCGGGGTTAGCAAAAAAAAAAAAAAAAAACACCTCCCTCCCTCATCAGTTTTTATTCTTTGATAGGGTGATAAACTAATAATTTTTTTTTATGGGGTGAAAATTATATGATATTTTTTCATATTTTTTAAAACTAATTAAAAAAAAAATTATTAATAAAAAAGAAAATTGTGGGAAGAAATGCTGTTATAATGTCCATAATAATAAGATGTTATACTATTGCTATATTTCTCTCAAATGCACTCAAACAGTTTATGCTGATGAATAAAGCTAAGGAAGTACATGTACTTGGTTTTGCTTACATTTTGCAGTGTATTGTATGACTATTCATTCGTACTTTGTCATTCAACTAACACCCATTTGATTAGCATTAATTCTATCAGAGTATAATTTGTTGCTTTTCATCATAACTAAAAGCTGGTGACGGCAACTCTGCAGTTCTATTACAGTATATGTAACGTACAACAGATTACACGCTTGTTGAGTTGTAAAACAAAACTCGCTAAGAAGCTGGAGCCAAAAAATATGTAAATTTATTTAATATTACTTGGTTTGTTTTGAATATGTTATTCTGCAGTACATTCAGTATGCTTCTAATGCAATGCCAATTATAAATTTATCAGAATAACGATCTATTTTATTTTAACAAAGCAATTTTTATTTTTCAAGATTTGTTCACCTTTCTCTTTAAAAAAAGTTCAGTATTTAAATGTTATGATTTTTTTTAGTTGTCAAGTTTTTCTTATTCATTTTAATGGTATGATTTTTTTTTTTTTTTGTATAGGTATACTAAAATGAATTAATACCAAAAGACCAAAATAAAAAATACTAATAAACAGCAAAAATATTAGGTATTCCTACAGTAATTCTATTATCTATTATATATTAAGATATTGTCTTTCTTCTTTCTCATTTAAATTTTATAATTATTTTATAATTTTTTTTTTATGATTAACTTTAATACAAAAAAAGAATGAATAATGTCCTGATATTAAATGAGTCTTAACAATGATATAGAAGACCATTTTTAAGACAACTTTACTATAATTTTAATGAACACCAAAACACCAAAATAAATAAACCAATAAACTGCAAAATTATTAAGTATTTCTATTCCTAATAATAACTCTACATTTCTAAGGTTTTATAAAATTATAGGTCTATTATTAAACAATTACTGTAGACCTATTATTTGCCAAAGTTTTTAAACTTGGCCTTTTCTCCAGTAAAGCCCACCTTAATTTAAAGCTTGTAAAGTAACAAATTTATATAATAAAAACATATTTTCCAAATCAGTAATTGTATTCATACAATATATTGTATTACATACTGTGTACCACCTCATTGGAATTCCTTGCGTTCAGTTGATACCATTTTAGCTTGTCACACACTTAATAAATATAGTCACCTTTAAATACTTGCTTTAGCTATTAATAGTTTTATGTATACGTAGAAAGAAGTTACCAAAATTGGTTTAGTGAAAGGTGAAACAGATAGCAAACTTAAAATTAATTTTGCACCAGGACACATATTACCGGAATCTAATTGTCAGTTTATATGTAAATCTGGATGGAAAATTAAGGAAATAAAGCTACTGTTAGGGATGGCCAAGGTAGGTGTATAGCTAGAGGAATTAACACTCTGACTGCCATGGGTTTGAAAATTAGTATCACATTACTGTTAATGTAAGTGAGTAATTGGAATTGGAAAAAAGAATCTAATGTTAAGAATGAAAAAATTAAAAAAAATCAGCCACCTCCAGATATTTTAACGAATTTTGACTCTTTTCCGAAGATCATTGAGAGTGCGTATGTGATTAGATTGAGATGTAATGAATACTACAGGAACTACAAACATCTTAGCTTTACAGTGGTACTTTATTCTAATCACAATCTGTGACCTGTTAAACACTAAAATGAATATGACTCACTTTGGGAGATTTACGCAATTTCGCACAGCGTAGCTGAGATAATCGTAATTTTGGGAAAGTACATCAGTACTGCTACGCTCAATGTAAACAGATAAATAGTGAAATACTTACGGTCCAGACTGAATATAGTGTTAAAATTGTAAGTACATGTCGGTAATTACCCCATCTATCGGATTCCTGACCAACAGAACAGAGTCGGACTTACACATGTGTCTCGAAAACCACGAGTTATCCCACAAACGTATGTGTTTGCATGTTTTTACACAGTTGTTTGGTTTTGTGGTTTTATTGTTTTGTGGTTCTGAGAAGGCTTCAGAAATTTGCTGTTTTGGCACCTTATAAATTCCATGATTGATTGATTGATTGGGACCTTAGGAAAAATAACTAACAGATAGGGCTTAGGAGAAAGGTCCATTAAAAATCTCATGAGATTCAAAATTACTTTTTTATTAATAGTTTAATTGAATATTGACCTAAAATGATAAATTACTGACCCCTTAGCTTTTAAACTTAAATTTAGAAGTTTCATCTTCTCCAATTTATAGTAATTCTGGGTTCAACAGTATTCTAATCCATTTACCTTTCCCATAAATCAAATCAAGTAGCAGTTTATAATTTAACTGGCATCGCTTCTTTATTTTAATGCTGTGGCTATTGTTACACCAGTCTTAAATGAATTGTTAATTCTGATTGGATGTTTGTCCTAAATCCAATCCGTACAAGCAATACAATCATAGTATAAGAATTTAGAATTTGTTTAACTTTGGTGTAATCAAGGAGAAAATGATAATTATGGCCACTGTTGTGATTTGATGACAGTAATTGGAAGGTGGCTAACCCTTGAAGTAATAGTTGAGTTCAGTTATAGTAAATATATCTTAAATTTCAAAATCCTTGTTGAATTGCAACATTTTAACATGCAGAAATTTGAGTATTCAGCTTGTGATAGAAATATAAATGTTTCATGGTTTTCACATAATAATCATATTTTATGAACAAATTCAAAATATTCATATAACCAATCACATTTTAATGTCAAAATGTGGATATATTTTGGTTGTTTAAATGTAAATTAAACTGGAAAATGCTAATTTTTATCTTAGTACATTAAAATATTTTTGTATGCATAGTTGCATGAATTTGATTAGTCAGCATAAGGTATGAATTACTGTAGAACCTGAAAGAAAAAAAAAAGAAACATGTCAAAATAAAAAAATTAATTAAATAAGTCTTTCAATAGTAAGAAAGTATAATGGTAATGAAATTTTGTTTGAAAATTAACATAGTTTTACTTTTCACAGCTTGGGAAAATGAATTATTCCTTCTGTGCTGTTGATTTCAAAGGCTACCATATATTGTATCATCTATATTGTTCTAATACCTATATTAAAACAATATCATTATTTTAACTACAGTATAAATATTTTCTATAATGTAATTAAAGGTTTAAGAAAATTTTATGCCATTATTTTCTAAATGTTTGAATTAATCAGTTGCTGTTTGTAAACATTTTTTTTTAAATTCTTGAATCAGCTCATATTAATGGTCATTGTTTGCTATATTTTGTATGAAACTATAAAAACATTAATATTTTATATCCATTGACTGACACTCCTGTCTGGACTTTGTGATGTTGTAAGACAGTAATCACATTGTGTACATTATAATACAATATTTCCAGGACTTTGTCAATTTTTTCTTATTTGCCATGATTTGATTGGTCGTCATATCCTGCTGTGATTAGGACAGCTTGGCTGGGTCAGGTCACATTCGTAAATGTCAGCCTTAATATAGTACATGGTCGGTTAGCTTGTTATATATAGTACAACCAAATTCCAGTAGTACACTGTACACTTCAGTTGGTGAATATTAAATAACCTTTAACCTTTAACCTTTAAATTCATAAAAATGAATTCTTGAAAATGACAACAATCTTAAAAATTAATTTTGAAATTTAACTTACTATAATTTTGCAGTAACATACAAATTATTAATTTGAGCATAGAAATTTTTGAATTAAAAAAATGGGTACCCTGATTTTTATACTGGATAAAGATTAAAAATAATAAAAACTTTCAGTAACTGGAAGTATTTCTATCATATTTTGCTATAAAATTATGGTGGGTAAACATGTTTTAAATACACCTATATTATTTGATTTTTTTATTACTTCAAAATGAGCATGTTAATTTGAAAAATGATTTGTATGGTATTTTTTGGGTATTTTTCAAAGGACAATTACTAATTCCAGTAATGTTTGTATGGGTTAAGACTGAGTTTTGTATTCTTCAAGTTCATAATCTTCCTAGGCCAGGTCACAGTTGCTTGAAGGTTATTGTAAATTCCATGTCTTCTGTGGCTTAATATTGTACCTCTCATAGAATTACAATTTAACCAAAATCATATATCTCCCTAATATTTTACTTATCCGCATGATGCCCAAATAAAAACCGTAATCTCTTCTGTGAAGTACTTGTATATTCTGAAGGATGTTTTTCTTTTGTTTGTTTCAAAATTGGAATAGTTCGGAATGGATGTTATAGAGTTTAAGGCCAGCAGTTTTTATGTTTTTTGTTTTTTTTTTGTAAAGAGAAATTTATGACAGACTTTAGAATAAGCTTGTTATTTTTACTGAAATTTAGTTTTGAAATATTTGCAACCTTGCTATTTGTTGATGCATCACATTTCTTGCAAAATAACTTAATACAACTGAAGTAGGAGCATGTGGCACAGCTTATAAGGTGTCTTGCTTTCAATTTGAAGGTCGGGGGTTCGAAACCGATGCTTGTCACACTGCTTGTGCATTTGCCTCTCTTTACCCATGAGTAAAAATTGGTACATGGTTGGAGAAAATTGATTCGGAATGAAATTAGTAGTGCTGAACTACACGCATAGAGAGGAGCTTAGCTCAGTTGGTTAAACTGGTGGTAGCCACTGTGTATGCGCTGAACTGCGGAGATCTCTTGATCCCCGGTTCAATTCCCATCGCTGCTCTCCTTGTATTTCAGCTGGAGGGCTGAATACAAGTTACGATAATGCACCATCTTTCAGATGAGACGTTTAAGCTGTTGGTCTCGTGTGAACGCAGTATACTCTTCAGAAAAGAGTAGGGAATTGTCTCCCAGTGTACTGCCCAATCACCACTAGTTGATTATCTCTGATTTTGAACAAATCATTTTTTTTTTTCAGGGAAATGATAACAAATTTGGCAAAACACAACTTATCCAGTTGGTAGGAATATTGGAGAATGAAATTCAAACTAGAGATCTCATTATACACCAGTTTAAGGTAAGTTACTATATGCAGCCTAAGGTCACAGAAAGTACTTACAGTATATCAATGTGGATTGGTAACGGGTTAGGATTCATTTTGAAAAAATGTGCTATTGCGCAACCGGCGGGTCTGAAGCATGTGATTATCTCGGTGGCATTTTGGGGGAAAATTAAAGAAAATAAACCGTTGGGAATAGTGTACAGATAACATTTGATGCTGGAAGGATTTCATTGAGACTATTTTCATGGTTGCAGGCACAATTTTTTTTCCAAGCCTGGGCATATTATATTGCTCAGCTTACACTAGTATATACAGGTACAGTTCTGTAGCTGGGCACTTAAAACCAAACATTCATTTGGTTGATGTGACAGTTATATATAATTTATAAACTTATGAATGGTAAAGTAGATCGGATGTAAATTATTTCCAAGTGCTGTCATGTGTACTTAATCCGGACAGGATGACATAACGCGATGGTTATATCCATGCCCGGCATGACGATACTGTGTGTCAATCGAACACAATAGACTGCACTTGTTCGTGGGCCATCCTGACAATAGGCACCATGCCACCGTATGTTCAGCATTATGCGCGGTCCAATGCACGGTGCACTCTCTGTTCTATTGATTGCTAGCTACAGCGTAATGCGCATCGCAGGAGTTTTTTGCCGGCAGCTGTCGAAGTGTAGCAAACAGCTGACGGTGGATGCTAACCGGTAGAAACTTAGAATAACTGTATCATCCATTTATGTACAATACCTGCTTGACCAAACATATTGATTCGATATTGGCTTTGTTTTCTCTTATTCACAATAAACTCATGGTTATTGATCCAGTCCCATTTGTTATTTAATACCTCCATTCACCAATAAATTTCTTTATTATCCATGTTTATTGTGAGTTGGTATTAAATTGAGTGACTTTTGATCCAAGGTTGTGGTAGATGACCATTATTCAGAAGACATTCAATGAACATAATTTAGAACAAATCCATTAGGGACATATGACATCTACAGTACAGTACAATATGACAATACAGAATAGCTAAAACTACAATGTGGTTTATTGATATTTTAGAAGTAAATAATTTATTAAGTATTATGTAGAGTACTTGTATCAAAATAAAATCAATTAATTTTTTTCTCAGTTTTGTTACATTCAGTCCATGTTTAAAGAAAATACAACAATTTTTTTATGCAGTACAGTATTATCATTGCCAAATACCTATAAAATAACATAAAAATGAAGAAACTACAAAATAACAATACAGAATAGCTAAAACTACAATGTGGTTTATTGGTATTTTTGAATTAAAAAGTATATATTACGTGGAGTATTGTATCATAAAAGAAAATAAAATTAATTAATTTTTTTCTCAGTTTTGTTATATTCTGTGTATGTTTAAAGAAAAATACAATAATTTTTTTTATATAGATTATCATTGCCAAATACATATAAACTAACAAAAAACTACAAAATGACAATACAGAATAGCTAAAACTCCAATGTGGTTTATTGGTATTTTGGAATTAAAAAGTATATATTATGTGGAGTATTGTAAAGAAAATAAAATCAATAATTTTTTTTCTCAGTTTTATTTCATTCTGTTTATGTTTTAAGACAAGTATTTTTTTATACAGTAACATTGAAATAACATAAAAATGAAGAAATTACAAAGCGACAATAGAAAATAGTTAAAACTACAATTAGGTTTATTGGTATTTTGGAATTAAAGAAGTATATATTATGTGGAGTAATGTATCATAAATAAAATAAAATGATTTAATTTTTTTTCTAAGTTTTATTACATTCTGTGTGTTTTAAGAAAAGACAAGAATTTTTTTAATACAGTATCATGGCCAAATACATATAAAATAAACATAAAAAAGGAAGAAACTACAAAATGACAATACAGAATAGCTACAACTACAACAATATGGTTTATCGATATTTTTGAATTAAATAATAATTATTATGTGGAGTGTTGTATCATAGAACAAAATATAATCTTTTCTGTTTATGTCTTAAGAAAAGACAATATTTTTTATATACAGTATCATTGCCAAATACATATAAAATAACAAAATAAAATAAAGAATATAATATAAAATTAATAGAATGTGCAAATAAGAGAGGAACTGATGGAATAAATCTTGTGATGTTTATACTGAAATTATATGAATTCAATTATATAAATGTATTATCTATTTTCACATTTTATTTTATTATTTATATTGCTTTTATATTTTTACTGAAAGGAAGAAATCCACTAAACAATACAATCGGGCTAGTTAGCTTAATATAAATTTAGTGTTCATATTTTGAGAATATATAACATAAAAAAGATGGATTTCATTGAGATAATATGATTTAAGTGGAAAGATAAGTAATGTTTTTTAACTAGCAGAAAGCAAAAATAAAAAATCGTACAATTAAGACTCAACCATAATACTAAAAGGAAATCATCAAAAGAAAGCCATAAATTTAATATTTAGGTTACATTAAGGAAATTGTAATTAATAATTGAGCAAAATACGTAAGGAATATTTATAAGCTACATTTATGTAAAATTCATGTATCTTTTTATGGATTTTTTAATGTAATATTATGTAAAATGCAATATAATTTAATAATGTACAGTATATAATTTAACCATAAAAGTGCTTGCAATTTGTAATCATTTTTTAATTTATTTCTTAATACCATTCTCACAATAGGTATGAACTTTTTTATTCATTATCTTAAATTCTCAATTGTATTGGCATGGTCCTGCATCAGATGAAATCCACTACTTTGTAAAGGAAAATGTTAATTTATTTTAGTAGAAATATCAAGTGAGCACAATTTTCATAGATTATTAATATGATTTTATGTATTTATGATTCTTGACTATTTAAAAACAAAATTTTTTTCGCAGGTTGAACGCCAGAAACTGCTACGTAGTAAAGCAGTGCAGAAGAAGCTGATCTTTAACAATCCTTATGCGGCGTTAATCCGTGACCGGCCAGATGGCGAACCGGGGGAAGAGGAGGCTAATCACCCCCTGCAACATCTTCAAACTCTTATAGCTCACCATAAAAAGGCTGAGCAAAATATGATAGCAGAGTTAAAAGCCTTGACTGAGAGCCATGCAAAGGTATGCCCTCACAGTCATCGCCGTCAGGATGTATGGTATCTATTTATAGAAATAGATCCATCCATCTAATTATCCATTCATCAAGCTATTCATTTCTCCCTGTATCTTTTCATCTACATTCATTCATCCATCCATTCCTTCATCCCTCCATTCATTCATCCATCCACCATCCATCCATCCATCTATCCATCCATCCGTCTATCCATCCATCCATCCGTCCATCCATTTATTCATCCATCCATCCATCCATCTATTATTTAATTATCCATCCTTCCATCCATCCATTTATTCATCCATCCATCCATCATTCAATCATCCATCCATTCATTCATCCATCCATCTATTTATAAATCCATCCATCTATCTATCTATCAATCCATCCATCTATCAATCCATCCATCCAATCATCATCCATCCATCTTTCTATCTATCATCCATCCATCCATCTATCCATCCATCAATCCATCCAACTATCATCCATCCATCTATCATCCATCATCATCATCATCATCTATCCATCCATCCAGTCATCATCCATCCATCCATCATCATCATCATCATCTATCCATCCATCCAGTCATCATCCATCCATCCACCATTCAATCATCCATCCATCCATCTGTCCATCCATCAATCCATCCATCCATCTATCATCCATCCATCCGTCCATCTATCTATCCATCCGTTTAACCAACCTGTCCATCAACCAGACCTTACCCTCATGCATCCATACATCAATTCATCAATTTATCCATTATCCATTCATCAGGCTATTTATTCCATTATACTTATCCATCTATCTATCTCTTCCTGTATCTCTACATCTATATATTCAACCATCCATCCTTCCATTACTTCATTCTTCCATTCATTCATCCATTCATTCATCCATCCATTCATTTATGCATTCATATATTGATTTGATTGATTGATTGACTGATTGGTCAGTTGATTTTTTTAATTAACCATTCATTCATTCATTAATCCATTATCATCATTCATCCATTCATCCCTTTATTCATTGATTTATACATCTATCATCCATCCATACATCTATCCATTTGTTCCTTCATCGCCATGCATCTTCTTCCGCATCGCCATCGTCTATATTGTATCCGTTGATCCATCCATGCTTTTGATGGTTTCCATTTCATTAATCTCAACTTCGCCAAGTAATACATTAAATCAATCAAGATTATTTATAAAGAATATAGGAAAATCATCATACTGTAGTATTCATACCACTGATACTGTGGGTCAAAGGCTTCAGTGATATTTCCCCTACAGTCCACAGGCTCCATCTGTATTATACAATACATATTAACAATCTCAATGATGAATTGGGTTGTAAAAGCACTTTATAAGATGTTTACGTCTCTAGTAGTCTGCATGGTTGTCATGCTTTATTTACTGCACTATAAACACCTTAAGTTTTATCACTCTAAAATTTCACGATTTCCGACCATTAGTAATTTCTATGACCTCCTAATTGAAGATGGCCAGACAACTTATCTTTTGATTTTCATGAATTGTCAACAAAGCCAATAAGAATTTTTTTTTAAAAATGAAAAAATGAATTTTGTTATATATTCAAAATTCAGATTTTTCAATGTAAATTATTCAGCATATTGTAAATTTTTATTCTTTTTATTAATATAACAATTTATATTTTTACCAGGCCTTATCATCCACAAATGCCAATAGTGTCATTAATTTAACATTACTTACAGTCCCATTGATGGCTATTTGTAGGGTATACAAACAATAAATTATACAAGTTCTTTTTACTTGCTATCAAAAAACAATAACGTAACAATCAAGTAATACAGATTGACAAGAAATAATGGAAGAAATATTCTTCTGTACATAAACATATAACAATTTTATTAACATTAAAAGCAAAAGGTCAGAGACAATATTGCATAATTACTCTCCTGTACATAAAAAAAAAGTCAAAATTTGTTTAATATTAAGATTTGTTGATCATATATGAATGGACCAACTGAGGGAGTAGTTAGTACCATACAGTATTAGAATGTAAATTCGCTTTTCCCTTAATTCTTTTTTTCCATGTTTGTACCTTATTATCAGGTTTCTGTCTGTACTTTCATTGCCAACGAATTTTACATCCACCAAACACAATTACCCATACATGCAGTGCCGCTGACTAGCCAAGTGCCTGCATATGCTGTTAATTGTGGTTTAATAAGATGTTAATTAGCTTACTCAACTGCTAGTTAATAATGAGCTGACTCAGAAATACCAGTGCAACTCTGCATAAATTCTATTGATCCCTGTGCGTTTGCTGTTCTCGGTTTTCATCAACATTGATCGAATCGTTTCCAGTAGTATGGTATCATCAATATTCTCAGTATTCCATATTATCCAGGGAACTAAAAAATGTCTGTAATTCTATAAAAGAACTAAAACCCAAGAGTATACATGTATTCCTCAAGGACATTGTTTTCCCATTGAAAACATCTCCCTACATGTTCCCTGGATTTGTTTTTCCATATGGAATAATTTAATAACGATAATTTGGCATTAAAAATTTGTAAGCATGAAATTTACTGTAAATAAGGTTTAATTTTCAAAATTATCTAATTAAGATCAATTTTACGAGGAATGATCTGACTGGGTTCAGGTTCTATTAAAAATAGTTTCTAGTTTACTCTACTTTTAATAATTCTATTTTCTAATTTTTTTCACAGTCGTCATACAATATAATAAACATTTGTGTAAATATTATAAATAATGTTCATTACCTACAGGCTGGTTACTGTTGAAATTTTCTGGTCCTTGAGTATAAGCCCCTTCCTTCTCTTTTCCCCCCACTCCCTCATAAAAAAAAACCCCTCTAACAAAGATTGGAAGAGATGGATGCTTATACCTGATTAACTCTAGTATGAGTACAGTTTTGGTATAATATTTAGTGATAGTCTAAAATATATTACTAGCATTTATCCTTATAACACATGTATACATTTTCCCTGTAAAGTGATGATTCATCGGTATTTTGCCCCTTTAAGGTGATAACAGTTGTTCTGCAGTAGCACTGTAATACAGTTACTGGATATGTTGACCTTTAACTTGATAACACATGGATATGCTTTCTTTGGTAAAATGATACAACATGGATATATTTTTTCATTAATATTATAATATGTCATTGTGTTTTGTCCTTTAGACTGTTTCTCAGCTAGAGGATGAGAGGCACAAACACGCCCAGGATGCAGCGCAGGGAGATGATGTCACCTACATGTTGGAAAAAGAAAGAGAACGTCTTATACAACAGGTGAGATTAATATCCCTACCCCCTCCCTAACATTTCATCACACCTGGTGAATGGTACACCCCAATAGGCCTGCTACATTAGGGACTTTTTTGGTGGACAACGTAAAGAGTAAATTAAACCTTATTATTAGAAGTGAAATATTTTAAAAGTTTTACGTTCTTGACTGATATGAAGATAAATAAATTTGGCACCAAAATTTCCTAAAATTGCTGAGCTATCAAGATACATGTTGTGTATTAATCAGGTTTGGAGTTAGCATTTATGTCATCTGGTAAAATGTCTTACTTAATGACTTTATTGATAATTTAAATTTGGGAATCACCTAAGCTCAGTTGCAAGCAAATTTTCTGTGAGGAAACACGAATATAAATGGCATAATGATATAAGGTCAACTAACAATAGGTTTTGCTGCTGCCTCGCAGATTTACTTCTTGTGTTTCTGTTTTGTATTTTAAATGTATAGGCAAAATAAATGATATGATGTTATAATAAGCTCAGAAGTGGAATTTTACCTGTGTTATTATAAAATAATAACAATAATAGGTAATTATAAAATGACTAGTATATTTGTGTTCCAATTGTTTATCATTTATGGTGTCCCAATTCAATAATTTTATTTCTTGATTGCAGGTTGAATTTGAGAAAGCGCAGCAGAAAAAGCTAGAAAAGGAAAACAAGAGAGCGCAGAATTTGATCGTTCAGGAACGAAAGAAAATCAAGCAAGTTGCAAAGTTCATGCTTGAGGAGAGAACTGTACTGTTGGAACAACTAAAAGAAGAACAACAAAAATCAGACATGCTTGCTCATTCCCTACTATCTCTCCAGCAAAAGGTGGAGAACACAGAGAGCTTCCTTTCGGCAGAATCTAAGGATGCTGCAAAACGAGAGGCAGAGATGGAGAAGCAGTTGTCTGAAGTTGATATAGAAAGAGAACAATTGAAAGCTAAGTACAATCGAGAAGAGAAAAGGAATAAAGAATTCAAAGAGGAAATTCAAGGTTTACGGAAGAAGGTTAGTGACCTTGAACAAGCCTTGGCAAGTACAGAACAGCAACTGAAATCAGAAATTGCAAAGAAGAATTCCAAGATTAGTCCAAGTAATAGTGCAGTCTCTATAGTGGGAATCTCTGGTAAAGACACTAAACAAAAGACACCTCCAGTAGCAAGAGCGACTGCCAAAGTTATCAGAGATCGCAAATTAGATCGCTCTGACGGTTCCAATTCTTCCAGTTCCGAAGACCTTCATAACCCAAGAAGCGGTAAAAACCTAGGAGGTGTTCCAAGAGCTTCGAGTGGGGGTGTGAAACCTGGTTCGAAATCAAAGCCGAAAGTAGGAAATTCATCACCGACAACGCAGGTGCGAGGAAGCAACAACGGGAGGGCATCGCCGGTCAACAGAAGTAAGCAAGCAACCGTGGCAGGCAGTAAGCGTGGCGCAGCTGTAGCAACTTCAACTGCTAACCCTCCCACTGCTAAGGTTCTTCCGCTGACACAGCAGCAAGGCAAGCCTGGTTCACCAGGCAGAGGTACTGGTTCATTAATCAACACAGGAGAGGAAAGGTCTAGAGATGCCAAAGCCACTAACAATTCTAAGCAAACCCCTTCTTCTAATCAACCCCTTCTAATTCAGGCATCAAGCCCGAGCGGGACACTAACCACAAAGAAGGTTGTATCTCCCCGGGGAAATCCCCCTCCCATACCCCCTAACAAACCAACTCTTATACCTCAGAAGTTTGGTCCTTCAAGCACACAGCTAAACAGTGGAGTTGGTAGAACTGCATCTGTAGTAGCTAAAAAACCGGATTCTTTGGTGGAGGCTCGCAAACAGTTCTACGCAAGTAAGCTGGGAGGAATTTCGGGGCACAAGCCAGTTAACACAGGTAGCGTCCTCAACGCCAACAGTAACAACTCTAATGCAGAGGGCATGGCCAGGGACTTGCAGGTGGGTGAGGTTTCAAGAAGGTCGGATGATTCTACTCCAGGCCAGGCCAGCCTAGCTCCACACCACACAAAGACAGGTATTACTAACAACTAGCCTTCCTAAGGCTACTGGCTTGCACGGTACTCTATTAGCACTAAACCAGCTCTTCGGAACTTAATATGGCTTGCCTAGTATTTTGTGGTGTGACAATATTTAACCTAAATAATATACGCCTAAATACAGTTAATATTAGTAAAAACATTATCTTTACCAATAGACTAAATTATAACAATATATTTGTGTGTGTGTGTATATAATATATAGATATATAACTATGTATATACATATGCATTTATACACATAATAGACACTATATTATAATCATTATATATCTTTGATAGAGTTTATACTCATTAACATAGTTTAATATTATATCATTAAAATGTTCTCATGTGCACACTATTTTTTTTAGTAAAGATAAGGAGAGAACACAAAAATTGGCAATCTAAATTTTAAAATGAAAATTTAAAAGAATAAAGTACAACATTATAAGCAGGCTGATGTAAATGACATGTTAACATTTTTTAGTCAAAAATATATAAATAAATATAAAATAAAAATTAATAATAAACCATCAAATAAAATAATCTCCATTCCCTGAATAATCTCAAAATAAATGTGATTTTAAAAGAAAATTGAATTTTAGACCAAACTTGTGTGATAGCGCCCTCTACTGTGACCCTTGACCCTGGCCATGGCCTCAATGCTGGTTGAGTTTTGCTTCTGTCCTCTGCTTGTAATTGTTGGTTTCCATCTGGTGTCTCTTCACTCTTTCTCTCTGTTGCTTATGTAAAGTTTGAGAATGTAACCAAGTCTATGTAAAGTTGGCTAAAATACAACGTAGGCCTTAGAATTCCTGTAGTTTAGGCAATCTCTTCCTTCCTACCAACTTCACCCCCTTTGATTCCAACCATGGTTTGTAAGGGGAAACATTTCATGTTTCTTAGGTCATTTTTCTACAGTGATATAATCTTTAGTAAATTATTTATACTTTTCATAAAATAACTTACCTATTAATTGTTGAATGTGTGCAAGGTAGTGTTAATTGTAATGCATTTTTTAATTATTATTTTTATCATTATTATTATCATCATCATAATTATGTTTAATATTATTATTATTATTATTTATCAGTTTTATTTTATTCCATCTGTTTTAAAATACTGAATAGTTCCCAAACTAGTTTCCTGAGATTAACACACATATCAAAGTAATAAGCCAATTCCTAATTTGAACTTCACATGCCCATATTCGTCAGGGTCAGTCGACAACCAAACATACACACAACATTCGTTTATGCAGACTGACCTTGTATATGGGGCATGCGCACTTCAAACTATGAATTGGCTTACTGTTTCCAGAAATTAATTCTAGAAATTCTAGAAAATCAGAATTAATGCTAGAAAGGCAGACATAAACTATACTGTTTTGTACTTTCATGACTCTAATGTGTTCCATCAGACTTTATCTCATTAAGCCAAACAAGAGCATGTGTCATGCCTATATATGGTCATGATGACATCACATCATGACCATATATAGGCACATCATGACCATATATGGGCATGCTACAGTTTTTTTCAAAGAAAATTTTATATTTTGGACAGAAGTTTACAGACATGGAAGTTTGTTCAGATATCATACACGACCTCATGCTATTAAACAAAGTCTGATTAGACATTCTTGAGTCTGATAGATAGGGAATGCCCAGCTTAATGTTAACTATTTCATCCATCAAAAGACACGTTTAAGAAAAATGCAACAATTAGTGGTTTGACTTCAAAATTAAAAACCCCTTATAACTTTATATTGTACGTGCGTAAAATATAATTGCCGTACTTAATTTATACCCTACAGTAATACGCTATTAGTTATTAGTGTACATCAAGAAATAGCAGGTAGGAAAAATTAACTATCAAATGAGTCATAGGTTGTCATGGTAGCAAGAGAATGTTTTATTCAAACACTTTGCAGTCATCTGTCAGAGAGTTAATATTAACCTAATTTTGGGGAGTTTTAGATGATATTTTTATTCCCTTTCGTGTAACAAAAGATCCACATGTTTCATTGGAAAACTGGAGCTATGGTAGGAAAAAGATGTACAGTGTTTGATTAAAAATATGCTGCCACCAACGACCAAAAAGCAAAATAAATTAAGTATTAAATTTAGAATTGCTTATTTAAAAACATAAGTAGTCAGTGTTCATTAAGTTTAACGATTAAAATGTAAAGGTAGGATACCCATAACTCGCAGCGTCATTGTGCTGGGCATATGGGCGTGGTCTGTGACCACCTAGCCACCGTATAGAGGCATTTAAGTCGCTAAATGTACACATCATTCCACGACGACAGGGGCTGAAATGAACCATAGCATCGAGATACCCCTTACTGTTCCGAAGATTAATGCATAGGGTTCTTTGAAAGATTATCAAATAGTTTTCAATGTTATAAATATTTTTTATTAGGCAGTAACTAATCTAGGATTATTGAAATGGGGGGGGGGGCTGTGCTAGCTGGCAAACAAGTTGATCCGAGGCGGATCCAGATATATCAAAAAGGGGGGCCAAAAGTGAGGCTGATCGAGTCAACACTACCCTAGGGGGTCTGAGGGCATGCCCCGCAAAATTTTTGTTTTCTAGACGCCTGAAAATAACCTCTCTGAGGTGTTTTAGCGATCAATTTTTTTCTTTATTTATTTATTTATTATTTTTCCACTTTCCAAAAGGGGGGGGGGGTGGCCTTTGATATACTGGCAAGCCCGTCACAATTATCCTCTTCTATAATTTGAAATGTTTGGTGATGTTGAAAACTTGTTGTAAATGTGTTTTAATATCTTGTATCCTGCCAAGGCTAACACATTACTGTAGACATCGTGTAATTAGAATCGCTGAACCTTAGCGTTGTTTGTTCAAGATCACATGATTTATTTGGTCACACCTAGCATACAGGTCGCTTCAGAGGTGGTTTAGATGATAACCATGTAACTTATATACTGCCCTCTAGAGTATAAACAAACCTTACAAACTATAGGGCACACACTTGTAGCTTTTACTGGATTCCATCAGAACATACTGAAGTACAGGGTAGTTACAATTATGTTTGATAAAGGATAAAATATGAACAATTGCATAGCATTCAAGGATAATTATAAATTGATCTTTGCATTGGGGAAGGATTTGCTTTTCTTTTAGCCAATCCGGGCATGAGTTAACCTGTAGGACAATTTTTCTTTGCAAACAAATTTTATGAGGGACTATATGAGGCTAGCCATGCTTAACAAGCGTACCTGTCTCTTATACACATCTAGATGTGTATAAGAGACAGCCTCTCCTTACTGTATATTATAAAAACCAGAAAGGGCGCTATTCAGATCAGTTTGAAAGAGCTGATATGCAGCATGAATATGCATAACCTAAGTTTCACGTTTCATGCATGATTTTAATGTTATTCAAGTTACAATTACTGGTTTTATTTGATGCGACATGAAACAAAAAGTCTTTAAAAAAAGGCAATTAAAGTACCAATAAAGTCTAAAGGTGAGTGTTCAGCAACATTATTTTACTAGAGTTTTTATTTGTTTATGACATATATAAGTATGTGGTTATGTGACTCAGCTAATTATAATATTAGGCACCAAACCTTACCTATTGAGGCACTTATATTCAACTTGTATGTTTTCAATAAATATAGTTATAATATAGTATATTATAAAATGAGTTTCCACTTTCCAAAGGTGGGGGGGTGCCCTGCCTGGTGATGTGAGGTAATTTTTTAACAACTAGGAGAATAGGTGCACATAACATAGTGAGAGCTGGTTGATATTCTGGCAAGCCCGTCATAAATTAGCCTCTTCTATAATTTGAAATGTTTGGCAATGTTGAAAACTTGTTGTAAATGTGTTTTAATATCTTGTATCCTGCCAAGGCTAACACATTACTGTAGACATCGTGTAATTAGAATCGCTGAACCTTAGCGTTGTTTGTTCAAGATCACATGATTTAATTGGTCACACCTAGCATCCAGGTCACTTCAGAGGTGGTTTAAATGATAACCATGTAACTTATATACTGCCCTCTAGAGTATAAACAAACCTTACAAACTATAGGGCACACACTTATAGCTTTTACTGGATTTCATCAGAACATACTGAAGTACAGGGTAGTTACAATTATGTTTGATAAGGATAAAATATGAACAATTGCATAGCATTCAAGGATAATTATAAATTGATCTTTGCATTTGGGAAGGATTTGCTTTTCTTTTAGCCAATCCGGGCATGAGTTAACCTGTAGGACAATTTTTCTTTGCAAACAAATTTTATGAGGGACTATATGAGGCTAGCCATGCTTAACAAGCGTACTGTCACTAAATGTTCAACTGAGTAATTACCTTGAAAATGTAGCAGTATTGTATTGTATATTTTAATACAGAGGAGCCGTAATAATTTTACTTTGGCAATATTAAGTCGATTTCAGTAAATGATTTGTCATTTTAAAGCTTATTAATGTGGAGATAATTAAAAAGTAAATTTTGTTGTCTTGGTAACTTATGCTGGTTTTGGCATGGCAAGCCCCATATTGAAATTCAAAAAAAGAAAGAAGTAAATATAAACTCTTCCTCAGAATGCCAATTTTTGTCTTGGTGCTTGACAAAAGCAAATTTCGTTTAACTTATCTGTGAAAATACTTGTAGTTACTGTATAGCGCCCTCAGTTACAGCTTTTTAAATCATTCGTTCACAAACTGATGATTTGATGAGCTTTGCCCAGTGTTACCCAGTTTAGCTTAACATTGGAAATAGATGATCCTGACACTTTGTGAATATTTGTAGATGGCAGTTAATTTTTTTGTTTACATTATTTCATAAACAAATTTATTATATGCATGATTAACTTGAGATTTATTATAACAATAATAATTTTAAGAATAATAATTTCAATTTCTATTGGGTAGCCAATATCACAAGCATTTCTGATAACAATTTGTAAAGAAGCGTTTTTTTTTTGTTTTTTTTTACATTGGGAAGGTTATCTGCAATTTTGTTTTGTCGTTTATAGCTGTGCTGTGTGTACGTGTGTGTGTGCGTGCGTGTGTACGTGTTTATCCCATCTGCACATACCTGCATGCTACCTCTTACCATAACCTCTCCTCTGCTGTTACTAACTTACGCTCCATCATTCTGATTTCATCGCATTACTTCCAAAACTGGGCTACTGGGCTGGACTGGCCGTGGAGTACGCTTATCACTGACCTTTCACATATGAACTTTGACATTATATTTAAATTTATCTTGATAAAATCTATGCAATGATTGATCATATTTCATTCTAGCTGCTTTATAGGTACAGTAGATGCAAGCTCTAATTTCTTACAAAAGCATCGTATTTATCTATTATAACAATCCACAGCTTTTTCTATCTAATAATATTATGATAACTAAATGTCATAATTTAAAAAAAAAATACTTTTTTTCTATTCCAGGATATATATGCTTTTTCTTTATATCTGATTATTTATCTTTTAATGTTTCCATTTATTCATGTTATCTTTTATAATGCAAAGCAAATTTTTCTTTAGTTGCTGAAAAATATTACAGCCCCATTTTAAAATTTTAATATTAATCAATTTTTTAAAAATAATTACTATTAAAAATGAATAATATGAAGGGAAATGATGTTTATAGGATTATTGAAATATTAAAATTATGATGGAAGTTGCACTATGACCTTGATTTTCTCTTCGCCTTCCCTTGACCTTTGGCATGCACAGCTCATCACACCCTCTCTGCATCAGCGTAAGTATTGCTATGACGATTCGGGGGTCAGTGTTTGTTTATTGGCCATCCGTTATCATCATCTTCCAAATGTACCTGTCAACCTTTTGCACATCGGCGCATTCAACCACACAGAGTCCAACAGAAATAATAAAGATTTTTAAAACAAAGGTTGAATTTAACTCTTTAAAAAATATATATTTACTTGACAGAGAATTATTGTTAATTGGATTGAAAACAAAAATTTTTGAACAATCATCATTGAAATATAATGTGTAAAAATATTTATTCATTAAGATAACGTTTGGTACTACCCATTGTCAAGTTTTATGCATTTTTTCATCATTTTCAAGAGTACAAAATATAATTTTCCCTTTTCTTCCCCAAAAGAGAACACATTTATGAGTCGTTGACAATTATCAACATTTTCACAAGTATATAAACAGTACTCTAGGGGGGAGTTTGTAGCTAAATTTGTACACATTTACATATGCATGAAAATGTTGATTAAAAATAACATGCAATATTTAAAATAGTAGACTTTTATGACCAATTAAAATGCAACCATGGATGTAATAAACATTTTTATGCAACTAAATACAAAACATCAGTTGACTACACGAAAAAAAATAGAGAATCGTTTTGCAAAATCAACATATGTTATGTAGACTTTCAGGTGGGGGAGGGGGTACAGAAAAACAGTATTGCTTGTACACTTGCATAAAAATGTTGATAATTGTGAACGGCCCCTTAAATGGTTGTTATTGTAGATCATAATTTTAATCTTTTTCGTAGTACATAAAAATTGAATGAAAAAATGGCCCCTGAGTTGGTTATAACTTGTTTCAGTATACTTCATCCAATGAGTACAGATTTGAGTTTCATTGGCAAAATTAAAAAAAAACAGTATGCTCCATATCCCTCAGGTATATTTAAACATGATTTTGTCAATTTAGCAATCCTTAATGATTGATGTGTTTAAAGCAACTGTTGCAGACTCAGCAGTTTGAAAGCAGTGTGTGCGAATTTGGACTCGGTGCATAATATGCCCCTGTGTGGTTGGATGTCTGCCATCTATATTTCTCACTTGGCATGAACTCATCAAACATTCTGAGGCTGAACATACACTATTAGATTTTATCTGTCAGATGCTATTTGACCAGACTGACAGTAGAATGATGGTAATAAAAATAGTTTCCACTAGCGCATAATGATATATCCATGTCTATTTAAAATTATAACCATGTTCTGCTCCCAAATGTCTGAACAAACTTTTGTTAAGTCTGACAGATAAAGTCTTAAGTGTATTCTCAGCTTTACTCTATGTGTTACTAAATGTTCATTGTCATTATTCTTCTGATTGACTTGTGAAGATGGATGTGGACATGAGGATTAGTTAAAGACAGGGATTAGGACATGTAAGCTATATCCCTTGATCCAGGATATAACAACAGGATTACCGAGGCTTATTATCTCTAATATGTCAATCATGCTGTTATCTTAAGTTTAATACAATTCTAAATCAATTGGAAATGGTTTAGGTTAAGTGTTACAATGAATTTATGTTCAGTTTATAAGTTCCCTCAGTTTAAATGATATGATTTTGAGAAAAGGGGGAAAATGTTGGGCATAAATTGGTTTCTTGTCGTCCTTTCCTAGAAAGGAGACAGCATATCATTGTCATTATCATCATCATCCTCACCATAAGTATCATCATCATTAAATCATCACCATCATTATTATCATCAACATCAGTATCATCATCATTATTATCATCATCACCACCATCATTATCGTCATCATCATCATCATTTTATCAATGATGATAATGAAATGTATTTATAAAACTAGTCGTGGATCACAGATACATCTTGGCATTTATTTAAAATATTTGGTTGTTGAAAATTATCCCTCGTTTGTCACCAACATAGTATTTCTCATTCTAGGTTTTTATATATTATTGTTATCAACTATGGATAATTATTTTATACCTTTTTATTATGTAGTATCATTTTTCAATCTGTTGTACATTATGTAATTTTATAGATAAGTTTATTTTTATTTTCAACCTAACATAGTAAAATATTTTTGTGTATAAATTGACAGATATTTAAACATGGTCTGCATGTGTTACACAGTAATATATGCATGCTAACAGTTGTATATGATCCAACAGAATATATATTTTATATCTTATGAATATTCAATATACTCATAATTTTGCAAGAATGTATGGTAATCATCCCTAACAGCTTGCTATCAACCAATCATGATCCATTGATTTGGTCACATGATGCATGGAAACCACTGTGCTTATTTTTATCTATGAACTGTGATATTTTGTCTGAATAATGTCATTAATTTGAAATGGTTTGATACATTTTTGTATCATAGTCCATATTCAATGACCCCAGTATTTTGTCCTATTTATTGATACAGCAGCATTGCCATCATTATTGATATCATTATCATCATCATCATCATCATAGTTATCACCAGCATTATTGTGATCATTATCATACTCATTATTATCATCATCATCATTTATCGTTGTTGTCATCCTGGTTGGAAATGGAGGCAGCGTTGTTGCTGCCGTAATTGTCATCGTCATAATCAGTATCATAATCAACATCATCGTCGTCGTCATCATCTTCATCATCATATTTATTGCCAATGCTATTTTCATTATCATTGCCATTTTTATTGTCTTCACCGTCGTCATTGTCATCAGCATTATACCAGAATAATCATATTTATCAACAACATCACCATCATTATTTATATCAAATATCTTTATCTTCAGCAGTATTGATCATAGTAAATGCTGTGATCGCTGTCAATGTTATTTATTATATTATTACTATCATGTTGTGCGGTTGACCTATATAAGTTCACATACTGCTAAGAGTATTCAACCTTGGGTTGATTTCTTGTGTTCATTATGAATATATCAAGTCAAATGGTATCCAATCCAAATGAATATTTTAGTGATTATTCAGATATGAAATGATATCAAAATATGGGATGAAACATTGTAACATTACATATTTTAATCCTGTTGCAAATGTCTTAAGCTTGACAAAAACATGTGACCTACCTAAATATAGTCATGATGACATCACATCATGACCATATATAGGCACATCAACACAAAATATGGGCATACAACAAGTTGATAGTCTGCATAGGGCCTTAGGTTTTTACATTCAACAATACTTTGCATAATGAAGTAAATGTTTTCCTTTGATGATACCAACAACCTTGCATACATAAAATGTATCATTTATCATTGGATAATATTGGTTTTTTTTAAATATCTCTATAGCAACATGCATTATATTTTGCATACAATATCTATTGACATGCATTATTCATGATCTGGATATACATATTCATGAGTTATTGATCACTTTGCTGCATGGATGTTTGAAAATGTTCTTGTTAACTATGATTGCTTTCAGGTGTCCCTGGCCAAGTAGGTAGAATTCAAGATAAATCAGTAGCAGGTGCAAGCCCCCTGCACCTGGTAGCTGAGAGGGGGGAGGTAGGGGCAATTAATAGGCTTGTAGTCGAACAGCATCTGGATCCTAATTTAACGGCAGACGACGGATCTACCCCGGTTCATATAGCGGCCCTCTATGGCCAATACGGTAAGTGTTGCTCTACTGTTGCCTGTGAATAGCTATAACCAAAATTATTTACTGATCGATTATAACAGGGCTTGGAATACGTGCTTGTCCCTCAAAGATGTTTTCCTTAAATCGCACATTTACATACATTTGTGGTCGGCTCCGGCAAAACCAGTCCTTTGTCAGAAAAATTCAAAAATTAAGTTATTGATATTTTAAAATTCTGCATGAATTCTTAAATTTTATTCCTCCATCCCTAGCCATGTCCCCCCCCCCCCCCCACTGTTCTTCGCTCAAGTTAGGTTATTAACCTCATCTTATTTTTGTCGGTTACAGATTGTTTAAAGTCTTTATTACAGCACGGCGGTTCAGCCGCTGCTGTCAGAGTTGACGGATTTACCCCGCTGCATGCAGCCGCAAAGTTTGGACATGCAAGGTAAACTTTACATATCATTTCTGCGTAACAAACATAAATTTACTGTTTGCATAGCGAGGACAGCTGTTTGCGGCAGTACTATATAGCGGGTTGATTGATAACAATGAGTGAAAACCTCAGTTGTGATAAAAAGTTGTTTCAAGCAGTTTCCTCTTTTATCAAGAAGCTATATATTATGGTTTATTTTTAAAAATTATGAAGAATTAAGAGAAAATATAAAATTTGTAATTTAAGATTATGAAATAACATATCTTCCAATGTGAAATTACCTGTATTAATTTTTCACTGATTTACAGATGTTTTAAATATAAAAATCCTTAATTAGGAAGAATCGATCTAATTTCTTAACTTTGAGGTCTGGGATTCAATCCCTCGCTGTGCATTGCGCTTGCAGTTCCCTCTTTTATCAAGAAGCTATATATTATGGTTTATTTTTAAAAATTATGAAGAATTAAGAGAAAATATAAAATTTGTAATTTAAGATTATGAAATAACATATCTTCCAATGTGAAATTACCTGTATTAATTTTTCACTGATTTACAGATGTTTTAAATATACAAATCCTTAATTAGGAAGAAACGATCTAATTTCTTAACTTTGAGGTCTGGGATTCAATCCCTTGCTGTGCATTTTGCTTGCCTGTGTCCTTGAGTAAGGCACTTTCTGCAGGTGCTTCTCTTCACCTAGGAGTATAAATTAGTACTTGGCAGGGTTGCCTGCTCCGGTGCTTATAGCATGTGACCCCAATGACCTGGAAATAGTGCTTCATACTTCAAAAGAAAGGTGCTATATATATAACAAATAAATAAAATAAAATAAATAATCTTATTGCTTTTCACCATGTAGGTGCATGCAGATTTTACTTGACGCTGGAAGTCCAGCCAGCCAACCGGACACCATCGGTTGGCAGCCTCTTCACCAGGCTGCGAGCAGTGGCTCAGGAGCGTGCGTTCAAGTTCTTCTTAGCCAGGGTATATCAAGCTTATGCAGATCACAGGTAGGATATTGATCAACCCAGTCTCTTGCTGTCTACACTACTATATGTTTGTCAGACTTGGCATGCCATGTCTGATCAGATTTTTCAGTGTTTGCTTGTTTCAGACATACGATAGTAATTGTTTGTGTCTTTCTGTCTCTTGTGAGATCAAAAATGTTTTACTTTTCATTAAGAAGTAGTTTCGATTGAGAATGTAAAAACGAGAACGCTGAACAAATTCACTCACCTGTGACTGACATCATTTGTATTCAGCAGTAGATAAATTTAGATTTTCGAAGGGCACATACGCACAGATTTGTAAAACGCACGATGCTCTTCAATTCATTTAGTCATTTTTATGTAGTACAGTCATTGTTGTGCAAACATAACATAGGTTTGGCTGATGACCGTTCCAGATTTTAGGAGAGAACTGAATGCACGGCATTTAGATATGCTCAGTTAGCATGACATCATTACATACTACATTCTAAGTTAAGCCCGATTTTCTTAGAATCGCTACACTGTCGCTACAGTGTTTTCAGTGCAATCGTTGTACCACGTAGCAGTCTCGTGAGGCAGTCAGGAAGACTCCCTGATGTGACCGACCAATCAGCATCACCAAAAGGCGATAGCATGTAGCGATTGTATGGAAACCATGCTTTAGCTCCAATCAAAAGCTTCCTATTATCAGGACACTCTTTTGTCCTAGAGACCCTTTCTACCTTAAATACACTCAGTGATATTAATGATGCTGGTTTTTTTTTCTCCGCTATAGACTGGATGTACACCTCTGCACATAGCAGCAGAGAGAGGGCATGTGGAGTGTCTGCAAGTATTGCTACAGCACTTTACAGCTAAAGGGCTTCAAAGTGAGCTAAATGCAGCCAGTCAGGAGGGCTGGACAGCTGCCCATCTTGCTGCCTCTTTAGGGCATGTGGTAAGTTAATACATTGTCCAGACTTTCCAGCATAGTATGTTTATTGCATAAGACTTGTAGTTTTGTTTTAAAAAAGATTGGGCAAACCTGTGTAGCCAAAGCTGTCCATCCGTGGCGATATGCACATGATAATTTTGAAATAAATATGACTGTACAGATGCAACGTAAATTCGATTTGAATGTTTGAATCATTTGGGATTTTAGTGAAGATTGTGAGTGGTAGTGAATCTAGGGATGCATTTCTACTGGCTATGAAAAACAGTCACTATGAATGATTTTTTTTCAAATGTTGATTTTATTTTATTTTTTTATTCAACTTTATTTACCGAGGGTGACCCAAAACAGTGATTGCTGACAATCATGTGCACTCACATAAAGACATCATAGTTCATAAAATTCACAATCACAAAAGCTAAACAGAAAAAATAGAGAATTATAAAATTTTAAAAATAATCAATTTATGTACAATGAATAAAAAATGCATTAAAAAAGTTCAATAAAAAATAAGATTAATAAAATATTAAACCTCTCAAAAATTCAGTTTCTTGCATTAATTAGTTATTTAAAACAATATTATTAAATGTATCAAAATCAAAGTTCAAAAAGTGAAAAATAAAAATAAGTAATTGCAAGATATAGTCATTTAGAAAAAACAGAATAATTTAATTAGTCAAAAAACTATAATTTAGTTGTCAAAATATTTAGTCAGTAATAATAGAAATGAGAGATTTAGAATAATTAAAAACAAACAGTGATTTCCTGTGACAGTACGAAACATACCAATAAAATACCAGATTATCGTGTCAAAGAATATGAATTAAATTCCGTGTCCAGTAGGTTAAGAACTAGTTCTCAAGTCTCAGTTTTTATTTTTAGTCACTGTTTGTCAGCTACACAAAGTACATTCCACTTAACCGCATTCCGTTGCTGGCTTACCCATCATGCAATACATCTTGAAGAACAGCGGTTGATTAATATTGACCTATTTTACCTTAAAATGCCACATAATATTTATCAGTGACATTTTAAATGACATCTATTAATCTAACTTTGTGTACTTTATTAACCTTTCTATCTTGCAATGGTATGGTGTTGTTGTTGGTTTGATATTTTTTCGAAATTAAAAATCCTCTTGTTTGATTATTTCTTCTTGTTCCCCTCTTATCAAAATGGATTAATCCCAATTTTAATTATAACTTGTAATTCCAACCACCTACTCGCCTTTAAGGCTATATTAGCAATGTATCACTTGCATTAATATTGTTCTATCTTTGTTCCTGACATTTAGGAAGCTCTCGAGTTGCTATGTCGCCATGGTCTTGATTTAGAGGCACTTGATATGTGGCAACGAACTCCACATGATGTTGCCACGCCAACATGTAAACGTGTAATAGCTTTCAGTAAGTACACACGATCTTTTATCGATAATTACTGAAGTAAAGATTTTGATCTTAAACTGGTTAAAGATTATGTTTTGATATTTAACAAGGTAAAGATTGTCTTCATATTTAACCAGGTAAAAATTCTGATCATAAACTGGTTAAAGATTATGTTTTGATATTTAACCAGATAAAGATTATGTTTTAATATTTAAGCAGGTAAAGATTTTGATTTGGTATTTAGCCAGGTGAAGATTTAATTTTGATATTTAACTAGTTAAAAATTCTGTTTTGGTATTTAACTAGATGAATATATTCTTTTGATATTTGACTAGTTATTTTAATAGTTTGTTTTGATTTTAATGAAGTAAATATTTTGTTTTACTATTTAATCAAGTAAAGAATTTGTTTTTATGTTAGACCAGACAGAGGTTTTGTTTTTGAAGACTAATAGAAAAACAATTGTTGTAATATTTAACCAAATAAATATATTGACCATTTTAAAGATTTTGTTTATTAGTTTGTTACTGACCAGGTAATAATATTGTTTGGTTGTTGACCTTACTCTAACCAACGAGTAAACTGCTTGATTATGATAGATTATTATATTTATTTTAAGTCCTGTTGGTTGTATACTAAATAAGTATAAATGATTTTTTTGAACAGGTTCACCAGATAGTATCAAGGTGATCGTTGCTGTGGTAGTCGACGGAGAACAGGGTCAGAGCTGCCAACGCTGCAGTATCGGTTGCATTCTGGTCTCTAAACGTACCAACTGGACGTCATTTCACAGCAGCGTTGCCAATGCTCTTATGCAGCATACGAAGGTATGAGTCATACACACAAAAGTAACTCTGTCTTAGTTGTACAACTAGGAAATTAGGACATCTCGAGATACACAGCTTCAGATCAAAACCATAGTGGGAAGTTTTGGCAGTACGTCAGAAGATAGATATTGTTCTTTTCTGAGAGTAATTGTAGTTGTGGTGGTAGTGGTGGACACTATATCAGATCAATTTGTAAGCATGATTTACATTTCAAGATAAACATGTTGTACACTTTAGCCAATCACATTTCCCATATCTTGTATTACCAGGAATTGAATGGAGCAGATGGGATTGGGAAAACAGATGGCAGTCCTACAGAAGACACTCCAGATGGAGAGATGGAACTGAGTCTGAATGCAGCTGCTATTGCCTCTTACACACTTGGTAAGGATCCTGAGTCTGTTGAGCAAATAAGTAAATTCAATATCTTTAACTGTTTAACTTGTATACAACACTTTTAAAGTAAGTTTTTAGCTTTGGTATTAAAATCAGTTGTTTATTTATTTGTTGAATAGCAACCATTTTTTGTGAGTCCTTCAATTAATTCATTTATTTAATGTTTTGATTAAAATGCATGGGTAGTTTTCTGGAAAATTCACATAGGAGGTTAGTACTGTAGTATGGTTTATACATTCACTACTACAATACCCTTCAATTGCTTATAATCCCTCTATCTATTTCCAGTAATTTATATAACTTTGTATTTTATTGTATTTGTTTCTGAGCCCTGGTGGATAACTTTGCTTTCGCAATGATCTGGCTACCCAGGTTAAAGAAGAAATAAATAAATAAATAAAATTTGTGTATATAATATATAATTGATAAAAGAGAAATTTGATTTTAAGTACAGAAAAAAGGTATTAACCTTTGACATTTGAACTCATTTCAGGAGGTGTTACATGGACCAGTCATAAGTACCCATCTACAGCTCCATTTGTCCTCACCAAATCAGGGTCAGACATAGAGGTACGACTTAAATCTGTGGCAAAAGGGAGTCTGGATCAGTTAGCCTACACCAGCCATGTTTCTGCTAAAACATTACAGACGTTTTTGCGATTGGTAAGTGTTTCTGATGCTGGTGATGGTTGTAGTAATAATAAATCTACAAGAGTGAAACCGATCTAGAATCGGAAACCAAGTATTTTGCGGACACTTTAACCAAATAGGTCACAGGATGAGTTTGTATCCAGTTTGGGGAACCTTAAGTGTTTTGTCAATATGGAACAGATTTCCCATGCATTTGTGCAAAATAACAAATTAATGCCCTCATCTGAGGGCTTATTTACACACACGGCAAAATTGGCAAATGACAGCAGCAGAAAAAAATAGAACCTATTATATTCTTTACTGCATGCAAAATATTTTGTTTTTTTGTTAGTGTTGCATTCTATTACTATGCTCTGTGTGAATAGACCTTTAAGCATTTGAACTGAATGAACCTCAAATGTAATGATTACTGTATTTACTTTACAGGTTGAACAATACCGCAATGTAGTGTTCTACGGACCTCCAGGCTGCTGTAAGTCCCATGTGGCAGTGAAGCTTGCTCAGTGCCTCAAGGTCAGTGACTTTACATTGGTAGTTAAATGAATAACCTTTAACCTTTAGTTAACAATTAAAATGGCTGTATGTGACAGGTCAGACAAGTATAACCAAGTCTCAGCTTGTTGCATTCTAGTCGCTTTCAAGATTAAGATTCAAGATTTCTTTATTTGTGTCCTTTAAGAAAACCAGTTGGTACATCACATATCGCAAAACAAAGTGCAAGAATAATACAAAACAAAGAACAACAATATATTTATAATTAGGAACTAAAGAAAGTATAATACGTACTCCAAGTATTGAAATGCACGCCATCGTGTTTGTATTTCAATCCTTGGAGTATGTATTATACTTTCTTATCTGAGATTAATCAGTGGACCTTTTGGTTTTTAGGAACTAAAGCTTACTTGATTACATTAAAACTTATTTAAAACGTATTCTGTTACATTTTTTTTTTTTTGACTTGCCTTACAAAGCCAAGGTCCTGGGTTAGAGATGCCAGAATTTCTTCTCACAACTATGAAACTCCACTAACACACAATTTTGTTACAGTTTATTAACATATGCAGTAGCATAATGATTTACTAAGCAAATTTTGTAACTATTTATTGTGTATACTTGTGCTATTTAAACTTAAGTAAACTTTAGTATTAATAATACTGCTGCCTCAATTAAATTGCTGCCAATTAAATATAGAAAATTTATATTTTTGTGAATTTGTCTTGATTTCATGGAAAGGCATTATATTTTTATTATTATTAATATGAGCCATCATAATAACACCTTAATCAATTTTTTGAAAAGCCATAATCAATATGTAAACTTTCTTTTTTTTATTAGACAAGACAAGATAAGGAAGGGTTGCGATGTACAGTTATCTTGTTACCTCTGCAACACCACGTCACACGGGAAAGCCTAAGGAAGGTCCTCATTGAGAAAGGTAATTTAATTTTTATTGTTTAAAATACTGTATATACCATAAAATCTCGAATACAAGCCCAATGGGCTTAATCTCAAGAAGAAACCCATCTCTTCTTTTCAAGATAGCATAACTTCTTTTCGAGATAGTGCAGTACATATACTGTATGTGAATTTCTAACAAACAAAATAAAGTAAGAACACGCTTGCTTTATACAGTAGTTTGTGATTTGATGCTGATACAAAGTTATGTTACAGTGCCATATTTACTGTTTTTGAGTAGGAATTCCCAAAATTTACAGCATTCATTTTGAAAAGAAGACACCCCTCCCCCATCTTCACTTTGCAACAGTAGGTTCGAAAAGAAGCCCATCCAAATATTTGGAAAAGAAAGAAGCCCAGGGCTTCTGTTTAAAGTTTTACAGTATTTATTTTTGAACTGTCACAAGTAAAAATCAAAACTAGTTGGGTCCAATTCAGTGTTCAAATACAAAGACAATTTCAAAACTAATTGTTACTAAAACAAAACCGTTATATTTAGTACTGTTTTACCACTGAACAACAGTAATCAAAAAAACAATTAAGATAAGATAAGATAAAAACATTAAATTACATCACAAATAAATTGCACTACAAAAATAAATCTCAAATTGTTATCAAAAGCAATCAGGAAAACATCAAAATACAAATTGCATTACAAAAAATAAATATATATAAAATTGTTATCAAAAGCAATCAGGAAAACATCAAAATACAAATTGCATTACAAAAAATAAATATATATAAAATTGTTTTATCAAAAAGGAATATCATCAGGTATATATTTATATAAGATTTTAATAAACTTAAATCCATCATGAATCATCATTATTATTCATTTTCCATTTCAATCTCAATCTATCATTCATTATTGTTGTTATTAATATTGATACTATAAGTATTACATCAATATTACAAGTATATTGATTTTATCAAATATTATATGATGGTCAAATTAACTTTCTATATGTAAATTGTTATTATTATGAAATGTTATTCTAATTTTTATTGATGTTCAGGTTTCTTGCGAGCTATTGAGCATGTTGGTGATTGGCCAATGTCTGCACCAATCCTGGTGTTGGATGGATTGGATCAAATCAACGTGTCAGTCATCTTATCGGACCTGATGCCGGCCCTGGAACACCTTCGGGCTAGCAGTCCAACATCACCACCGGCTTACCAATTACATCCCAGGAATTGCATCATTGCCACAATGAATAGAAATAGGTATTATTTTTATTTATCATTATTAATCATTTGTATTAATTTTTCTTATAAAATTTCTATTAATTTCCATCATCTACTTAGTGTAGATTTTTGTATAGCGCCGGTGTCCATCAAACAAGATGTTTATGGCATTTAGTGCGTGGACTAGTAGCTCATTCAGTGACTTTCATTGCCCCGAAAGGTCCCTTTGTGTCTATACTATTCAGTAAACCGGTACCAGCTACTCACGTCGTCCACCACAGGGGCTGACGTACTGCATACCAGTACGCCGGGGTATCCCCTTACTCATGTTGAATGATGTACCGGGTTCTTAAGAGTGCATGCAAGCTATTGTGTACACTGGGCCTACGGTTTATTGTCCTTATCTTAAAAGTCTTGTTTTACAAGTAGAACCAAAGACGAGTCTGCCGCTTGAACCAGCACCAATATTATGCCTATTCTTTTATTTTTCTTTACATTTTTTCCCGTCGTACATCCAGAAGATCTGTTTAAATGAGCCTCCTAAAAGATGAAGATGGGATATTTTCTGGGAGATTCCTGCTTGTGTGCGGGAGGCCTTCCTGGTTCCTGGGAGACTCCTGTAATTTGTGGGATAATTAAGACCCCTGTTTCTTGTATGATTTGATTTAACATGAAGAGAGTGAGTTCACAGAGTTTCATTATTGTTCTATTTTCAGAATGACTGGTCTAGATTTATCTGTACAGCAGCTTTTCCGTTGGGTTCATTTCAAGTGGGACAACCAACCGGTACGCTGCATGCTCACCAGGCACATCCGACTCCGTTTGATCTCCGCTAACGGAGGCCAACCGTTCCCGCCGACCGATGGACAGAACTTGCTTGGAGCGTGGGTGTACAGTGCTTGGTGGAGGTTGAATGAATACCTGCAAAAGCTAAGCCTGGTTGAGACTATCCAAGGGCCCAGACTGTTTTATGACTTTCCTCTTGATGTCCACAATCCAGAGGTGGTGTTTAGGTAAGATAATTGATGATTAACAATCAACATCAGCCTACTTTGTTTCAATACAATATAGCAGATAAAATAGCATGATTGTCTTTTGTCCTTACTGGTTGAGATGGAATAGAAAACCATTGTATCAAAGCCAGACTGTAATTTTTTATACAAAAGTGATACTCATAGTCTTATACCCACATAGCTGAATCTAAAAGAATGCTGTAAATATTGCAAACCCAACACCCACAAATACACATTCCCACAAATGTACGTACATCATTTTTTCCCTTTTTGAAGATTGATCAGGATTTTCTTGATGTTTATTCAGTCCAACAAAAAATAAAAAGAAAATGGCTACCATAATGCAAATTAAGATCAAGGAGTACCAATAGCTTAATTTGCATACTGTGTTTTCCTTTTAGATGGTTGGCTAAGACATGGAATGTACAAATTGCACCGGCTGTGGAAGAGGCAATCGTACAGGGTTCAGCTGTTGGAGGACCAACGCCCACAACGCAAGTTGTCAACACCGCCCTCTGTGTGTTGCTAAGGAAAGCAATCTTGCCAAACTGCCCATTCCAACCTTCAGGTATTTTCATATTTATATTGGCTTTTTATATAGTATATAGCCTTTAATAATTAGGAAGATAGCATTGATGTAACTCACTATGTCATAGGTCAACATAATTATTACCAGAAAATATTTGGATAATTGTTTTGTTGTGTTTTATTTATTAATAAAATACTCGGAAAAAACAAAAAAAATGGCATTTCTGTACATCTAAAGGTGTTCAAAACCACAAAATTTCATACCTCAGCCTCAACCATAGGGAGGCTGACATTGTGTTGGCCTTACGTCTCTAAATGTCCCTTCTTTGCCCCCCCCTCCCCCATTTTTGAATTCCTGGATCTCCCACTGCGATATATATTATTTTATTGCATCGGTATTATTCAGTGTATTGGTAAATTTAATAACTGTTTTTGGTGAATATTTATTTTCCTAAGCCAAGAAACATTTATTTGAGCATAATCATCTTGATGGACATTTATCATGTGCCATATACCTAGACACCCTTGTTATAAGGGTGCTTCAGAAATTTCCTTAGTCCACTGTTTTGATTTTGTTGTTTTTTTTTTTGTTTTTTTTTCTATAATTACCTCTTTTACTATGTTAATTGCTATGGTATGATACATACGAAAGAAAAAAGAGAAAGGAAATAAAAGAAGAATAAGAACCTATATTAATACAAATACTTTGGTTTTAGTTTTCTAATGTGTGTCTTTGAACTTTGAACTCTATAGAATATCAAGCATATTTGTCTAATTTCCGTGGCCTGAAAGATGGACCTGTGCTTTCTCAAACCTCCACCATCATCAGAGCTGAGCGTCGCAGCAGGAGTCTAGATCGTAGCAGAGTCACCATTTCCAACCATTTAAGTCTTCCACGAGATCAAATGGTTCTTGATTTAGGTTTGTTTAGTTACCTCTTTGAAAGCAGCCTGTTTATTACTAACCTGTTTAATGCTAACCTGTTTAATACTAGCCTACCTAATACGAAAAAAATCAACAATAATGGTTCTTGACTTAGGTTTGTTTAGTTTATAACTTGATTTACTGTCAATTCATTGAATGTCGGTGACTCTCAGTGAAGCCAGGCAGTTATTGTCAGCCAACAAATCCATCTCTGCTCTTAGTAAGAGCTTGACAATGCCATGGCTTTTGGATATATATTACAAACTTTGATAAGCGACAGCTATAAAATGTTAATGGAAGAAAATAGCCAGAAATACAACCAACTATTTATAACATAAAATCATATACAACATGTCTAAAATACAAAACAAAATACATAATTTATGGCAATGAAAGTAAGATCCATAATATGTAATAACAATTATACCAGATTTTACATGAATGAAATTAAAAGTTGCCTTATTTTTTTGTTGCATCAGGTGATGAACGATTATCTAGTATGAAGAGAAGTAGCAAGACCGATATTGCCAAACGTGTTATTGAAATGTATGACGGGTAAGTCTTAATTTTCCATGTTTTATTTTTTTGCTCCTAAATTAAACTAAATAAAAACACAGTGAAGATGTGCTAGGTGGAAAGACATATTATTAAAATTACCCATGACTAATATTATTAATAATGTGAAATGCTTACACTAGGCCTCGTTGGCATGGCACATGTTATTATTAACAGATAAAATGATTTGGATTTAGCATGGGCTACTCAAAATTGTTATGAGAACAGCTTAGCTCAGTCAGCTAAACTGGTGATAGCTATTGTGTGTGTACTGAACCGTGAAGATCTTTGGTCCCTAGTTCACGATCAAGTACACGCTATGCACTTCAGAAAAGAATAATGGATTGTCTCTTGGTATACTGTGCAATCACCACCAGAAGAACCCCAATGGAAATAGGTTTTTTTTTACTTTAGTGGGTTATTCTTGGTGTTTACACCAAATAAATTCACTCCGGTTCAGTAATAAGAAGTCACTGACTGATCGTATATGTTTGTTTTACAGTGCAGTAGTAGCAGGTACTATTATTAACTAAACATACCTGTATGTGTATTGCCCATTGATTTTAGCAGCTTTTCTCTTTTTGTTTTTTTGTTATAGCCCTGATGTTTCTGATTGTCAAATAAGAGGCGCAACCAGCCATCCTCAGCCACATCACATGACCAGGATGACGAGCTCATCCCAGAGTCCTCTGCTGTCGGAGATCACCAATATATTGGACCAAGGCCAAGAAGAGATAGCGGAGATCGAAAAGCAAATGAAAAGAGCAAGCTGGGAAGAAGGCAAACAGCAGGCTAACATTGGCCGACAGAAAACGTCATGGGACGCGGGTATGTGGGAGGAGACTGTATGAACATTTATAAAATCAACACATGAACGATTAAAAAAATAACTGAAAACTCACAAAATGATCCTTTGAAAGTCAGTCACCTGTGGAATGTTTCGTCTAAAAAGTTCAAAGTGAAAACAAATTATCATTGAACAGTTAATATACTGAGAGCTTCAGTTTGGACGATATGATTGCAGATGTGATTGATAGTCGAGTGTCGCGAGTAATCTACTGAATCATCCTATATAACTAAATAAAGACGTGCGGTATTGCAGTACGCATCCGCTTAGAAATTAAGACTAGTTCCAAGTGAGACATATTTATATATGAACCGAGGAAGGATCCTATCTAAGCTATATATGAACAAAGAACGGATCCTATCTAAGCTATTTTTGAACCGAGGAAGGATCCTATCTGAGCTATATATGAACCGAGATAGGATTCTATCTATTAAAGCTATATATATATATGAACCGAGGAAGGATCCTATCTAAGCTAGGTAATGAGGGAGACAACTGCTGTTGTGACTACAAGCTAATATTAATTACCAATGTACTTATGTATTGCATTAATATATTTATAATGTATTCATGTTATTAAGTTTATAGCAAAAAACAAAAGTAAAAAATAGTTGGAGTGTTGTAGAAACAGTCGTTTGTAAATATAAAGGAAATTTGAACACGAGAATGGTGTAAATTGTATATAGCCTAGCTTATCCATACAGGTTTTATCAAGTATGTGTGTGTTATGTTTGTCTGTGTATATATATATATATAAATATAAACTAAATTTAACATGTAATTTTTTTGCATTCAAACTAAGCATCCACTGTAAAAGTAGAAGATGGTTTGAAATAATGTTCTTATTGCTTAGCCAATAATTGCCTTGTAATTAATCCTTGCTGTTTTAACAAAATCTTAAGGTCATTTTCTGACTATAATACCAAACAATGAGTCTTGCACCAAAATGTGATATATCACCTCCATGCGATTGTTTTATAGTTTAAATGATGCTTAATAATATGTCAATAAATGGAGTTAGGGCTTTCAAACCAAAATTCTGTTTTAAGAAAAGTTAATTATTGTTAGCACTATAGCGAGTTACTGATTTGTTTCTTTTAAAATCATGTTAAGTTGATAAACCAACAAAGTAATTCACTCTAATTTTGATATTCAACCAACTAGAGAATGATAAAAACCAATTTTTAACAAAATTAAAGATTGTCCCTTGCAAAATAACAAAAAAAAAGATTTAAAAAATAAACATTTTTGAAATTACCTTGCCCATTTTGAAGTAACAAAAAATCTATCAACTTGAACATAGAAAGTAGTGTGTTTAAAAAATGTTGTACACATCATTTTACAACGAAAAACGATAGAAAAACTTCCAGTTACTGGAAGTGTTTTATGATCTTTATTATAATTATCCAGTTTAAATAATTTCTCTGCTCAAGTTAATATTGTTTATGTTACTACTAAATGAGCAAGTTAAATTAAAAATTATTTTTTGATTTTTTTTTTTTGTGTCATTTTCAAGGGACAATACATCTTTAAAGACATTCATTGCTTATTGTAATTTTACTTTAGGTGCAATACATCTCACTTTGTTGTGGAGGGTCAAGGGTCATGTATATATTTTAAGCATGAATCAAGTCACAGAACTTCTTTGAATATTTTTGCGATGTGATATATTTTTGACCAGTTTTGTTTAAGACATCTACTAAAACCTTTCAAGTTTTAATTAATATTCATAATAATAACCTTTTACCTTACATACCTTGAAAAGGCAACTGAAAAATAACTGCAGTAAATTATTGGATTCAGCAATTAGATTAAAAATCATATCCCAGTGGGCAACATTTGTTTTTGTTAAGTAGTTAAGTGGTCAAAATATAAGGTTTTTGAAAAACAGTTTAATATCAAAGGTACTCAAGTTGTTAAAAATATATCACAAATTCTGAATATTCTTAAGTATCAAATGTATTCGGTTTGTTTAAAAAATCACATTACTGTAAATCTGAAATGTCCATGTTACTGTTGGCATATTTTATAAAATGGCTCTGACAATCATTGAAATTTTAATACTACAGTAATTTAATTTTGAGATTTTAATTGTAAAGTATAACAGTCTTCTTGGTAGGAAATTAGTACAGACGTATGTGTTGATGGGACAACGTAGATTTTGATTGTATATCATTTAAATGTAACACAGCAAAGGGGAAATGTCGTGTAACAAAATCATATTTTCTTTTGGATGTAAAAGTCATAAGTTTACATATTTTACGTAATGAATTGTTTTGGATTTGGAGTTGAGATGTGTTCAGTTTAATTATGACAAACAGGTAAAAAATGTTTCCTTACCAAATTCACTCATCAAGATTCGTAGAGGCTTGGTTACAGCCTGATCAGCTCACCACCAGAAGCCCCATAAACGGGCTTTGGTTATAGAGCAAGAAGGGTCACTGGCGGTCAACTCTCCACTCCACAAGCCCCCATAATGAGGCCTGTTTCTAAGACAAGGGTCCCAGCCTAATCAACTTTGCTGGTTTATCCCCATAATTTTCACGATGTGGTTCAGGAAAATTATGACACTGTTTTAAACTTTTGCACGTTTGTTTTTGGTGGAAATTTAGCTAATGTATTTTATTTGAATTGCTAATTGGTGGTTATTTTTCTGATTATATTTATGATAATTTTATTGTTCTGTAAAAGTAGGAAATATCTTCATGATAAATTGTGTATAATTATATATGTAAATTATATAAGTAAGCCACAATAATGTATTAGCAATTGGCAACTTCACAGTTGCTATGGTAACAGTGTTTAAATGAAGTAGACAAGTCTGTGCTTTAGGCATTGAAATTGATATGTCAAACAAAATATTCACTTTTCTTTGCAATTCCTGGATCGAAAATTCAAATTAAAAAATCATTTGCCCTTTTATCAAACCTAGAATAACAACGCTTATGAATGCAATTACATCTAAAGATGTACTGTCCATTGCAAAAAACAAAAACAAAAAAAAAATCTTAAAAATCGTTTTTGAAGTTTGAAGAAACATAAAAATTATCAACTTGAACATAGAAATGAATGTATCAAAAAAAATATTTACCCATAAAAAAACCATCGTTTTCAGCAAAAAAATGATAGAAACACTTCCAGTCACTGGAAGTGTTTTATCATCTTTGTTATAATTATCCAGTTAAAAAATCTGGGAACACATTTTTTTCTATGCTGAAATTAAAAATTTGTGTGTTACTGCAAAATGAGAAAGTTGATTTCAAAGTTATTTTTTATGATTTTTGGCCATTTTTAAGGGACAGTACATCTTTAAAATTTGAAGCAAAAAGCAAACTGATAGAATTTTATTATAAAGAAAAAAGTGCATTTAGACAGCTGCATATTAAACCATGGCATAACGTAAAGGTAGTTGGCAAGTTCCTGAATGTTTCTTATCACTTTTTCTGATGGTTACTTGATTGGTTTTGTAAATTCGCACTCACTGCGTGTGTACAACCTCGGCCTATGACTCCAACTTGGCTCACTCGGAACTCAAGATGACGCGACACTGTCTGCTGATTGTAATTGACAGCTTGGCAATCTGAACTAATTGTCATTAAAAACGATACGAGTTGCGCGCGTGACGTTGCATTCTCCATAGAATTGCATCGGTTGACGACTGTCGTGTGCATGCAGTGATTGCCTAGCTTAAAACTTGCCGATATGTAGTGCATGGTGCAATGTGCATACGCCTATGCGTACTTGTTGTGCAATTGATGTAGGTATGTTAGCCTAGTTAAGGTGGAGAAAACACAGACTGTGTACTGTTGTTTTTTTTTTCTGCTGTATGAGCATTGCGGAGTGGGACAGCAATAAACTGTGGTGCTAGTTTTGTTTAAATGTTGTGGTCTCTCTTTCCGCTGTGTTTATACTTTGCATTCTGGGGGTAAATATAAAGCTTTGTCTACACTATCAAATTTCATCAAAAAAGCATCGCATAAAATTTGATGGAACAGAGTTGAACACGTTTTTTGATACAATCTGATAATATGTGATATGACGTCATCGTACCCATATATGGGCACATCACAATTTTTTGTCACATAAAATTTGGTAGGGGGAATATGAGACGGGGTGCACACCGTTGGGGTCCAAGAAATAGTTTGTACCCCAGTTTAAATTACATTCTTCTCTTAGTTATAAATCGACCTTCTTCATATCTGTCACATTGAGTCTCTAATTAGTTAAGTTTCATTTATTTCCAAATAGCATTTATACATACATTAAATGGAGGAGGCTAAGTAAATCCATTATATAAATCAAAATTTATAGTTTCCCCCCCCCCCCCTAAAAATTATACTGATAATAACATGCAAAATTCATATGACAAAATTGTAAAAGTATAGTTAGTGTATAAAGATCTTTAAAAAAGGAAGAAGTTTAATGGAAGTTTAAATAATTTCTATCCAGGAATATATGTATATCCCACCCCCACCCCCAAAAATAAATGAATAAATAAATACTGATAATAACATACAAAATTCACATGAAAAATTTCTGAAAGTATAATTTTAAAGAAAAAAAGAAAATAATATTTTCATGATCCATATGTGCCACAGAATAAATATGGCAAGGAATTTGGATTTGGCGAGAAATCGTCCTAATTTGACAAAAACCAGTGGCGGATCTAGGATTTAGAATTGTGGGTGGATAATGTGAGGTGAGAAGGACCAAGCGGGTGGGGGTCCCTCCCATTTGAGATTTGTTTGGAAATAGACTGCTAGACGAACTAAAATGGCTTCTGAAAAGAAGCAATCATAAAATAGAAAGTGTATGTTTTACTGAGTACCAGAAGTACACACCACAAGACGAGTGACCATTATTTTTTTTTTCATGGTAAGGGGGTGGCTATAGCTACTCTGTTCACCCCTAGATCCGCCACTGAGGTGTCATGTAATACGAAACAACTGAAAAATGGCGGGGTAGAAAAAAAGTATGAGATAGCTCATAATTTTTACCAAAATTGGCCCTATTAACCTGGACCAGGTTTTTTCCCAGATTCGTCAACATGGGCCTAATTCATGGGCCTAATTGTGTATCATACTTAAGCTTAAAACTAGGCTTTATACGAAACAAATTCAAATACGAAACAAATGGAAAATGGCGGGGTAAAAAAAAAGTCCGAAAAAAAGTATGAGCTATCTATGGTTTTACCAAAATTGGGCAATTTTTAACCTAGTCGTTTTTCCTAGATTCGGAAAAGCTTAAAACTAGGTATGAACTATTTAGCTTATGGTTTTTGCCAAAATTGGCCAATTATTAACCTGGTCGTTTTTCCCAGATTCGGCCACATGGACCTGATTGAGTGTATCATCCGATTTATCATTATTTAACTTAAAACTTGGCTTTAAGTGGCATTTATCAATCTGCAGAGGACTTTGTGATCTGTAGGTGTCCGTACGAAACACTGGGAAAAAAATCGTTAAAAAAAGTATGAGGTAGGCCCGCTCGGTTTTTACCAAAATTGGCCAATTTCTAACTTGGTCGTTTTTCCCAGATTCGGTCACATGGGCCTAATTGAGTATCATCCGATCCGATAGATATCGTTATTGAAGTTTAAAACTATGGTTTAAGTGGCATTTATCAACCTGCAGAGGACTCGTGATACTAAAGTGCCATGGAATACGAAACAACTGGAAAAGGGCGGGGTAAGAAAAGATAATATCGTCCAAAAATAGTATGACGAGCTTATAGCTCATGGTTTTTACCAAAATTGGAAATTTTTTTACTGTCACAAAACACCCCCTTTTTTTACTAAAATGTTTTCAATACATTTCATTTATCCATCCACGCCAGGTACAAACCGTACTCCTACTGTCAATTCTGTTCTTGGAGCACTGTTTAATAACAAGTTTGGATATTTACCCTTTCCTCCCCTCTCTTGCCATGTGGATTGTTCGGAAACTAGGCCTAGGGTAGGCCAAAGCAATATTTATTGTATTAAAGAATGTTGAAACTTTACCTTGATATCTACGATTTTGTTCAATAGTGGAAATTATTTCAAGAATTATCTTAACGTAAGTAGATGTTATTATGGTTTTTAAATGGAATATTTATGTGAAACCACAAGAATGAAACCGTTTTTTTCTAACCTGGTTGTAGACCGTTCCTGTCTCTGATAACTTGTCTGCGGACCTAGGGCTAGTAATGGGGCTGTGATCTGCCTAGGCGGAGGGGCTGAAGACCCCGATAGGGGGCCTAGGCTTGCTAGGCTGGGGCCATGGCAGGGGAAACTATGGATATTTGACGAATTTTGATGAATAACTTTATCAATCCTACGTATAATATGATGACTTCATAAAATCTCTCATATATATTGAGAATTTAATTTTATATTTTTGTTTCTTGTTCTTTTCTGGATGCACTGTTAGGTTTTGTCTAACGTGTGCCACTGTTATGAAAGTGTAATCCAATAAATATTGTGTATATTGTATTGTAATTAGGCCAAGTTGGTTTAATAAACCAAGTTGGTTTATTAAAGAAGGTTTATAATTTAGTGAACAGAATGGATCCAACGGCCAAACCATGCTTAGTTTAAGCATTGACCTATTAATAAGATTATTAATAGGTCCATGGTTTAAAGAGTAGGACTAGTTAAATATCATTATATTTGTATTCTTATTTATGTTAAGTGCATAGAGGTCTCTATGATATGCGTGCTCTATAAGTCGACCATTATTATTATAATTATTACAGTAGGCTAGGCCTTACTTTACTTACTTGTATACTGTAGTAAGATTTTCAGCTACAATAGCTCTTGTTTCCCTTGTTGATTCCGGATCCAAGACGAATATATGGACAGAATTTGTTCTTTGAGCACCAAACTCCTGATTGTAGCAACCCCAAAACAAATGGCACTTCAGAAATACAGTACAGTGTACCAATTATTCTCTCAAACTTCATATCCTATCACGTAGTTTGTGTTTTAAATTAACTTTATTTATTTTTTTACAAATTTTATTTATTGTTTTTATTTATTTTTATTTATATTTATTTATTATTTACTGACCAAAGAATCAGTTTTTGAACCAATGTTTTGAATAACCTACTAATATAATTTTCTTGCACTAAAATATTAAATTATTAGGCTCTATATAACAATTCCCCTTTTTCGCTCTCCTAAGGTAGTTGTTTATCTGTGTGTATTTATTTTTGTTCCGCTACACACTTGCATTCTTTTGCAAGAAAGGGAAAAAAAATTAAGAAAAAAAAAATGGAAAACAATTAAATAAAATTAAAAGTGATAAAAGAGAAAAAGAATGAAAATGAAGGAAAAGAACAACACTTACTGTATGAAAGGAAAATAGAAAAAAAAAGAAAATATGAAAGAAAAGAAAGAAAAAAATGTATAGGAAAATTAGAAAGGAAAGAAAAGGAAAAGAAATGTAAGAAAGAAAAAAAGAGGAAAATAGATAAGGGAAAAAAATGAAAGGAATAGAAATGAAATTAAAGGTAAGAGAAAGTAAATGAAAGAAACAAAGAAAAGGAAAACCGAAAAGAATTGAAAAGAAAGAAAATGGAAGGTAAACAAAAAAAGAAGGTCATGAACAGAATTGAAAAGAAAGAAAAAAAAAATGGGGAGGGGAAGAATAAGAGAAGTTAGATAAAACAGGGGTTTCCCTTAAGGTTTTTTTTAACTAGCCAAGTGGACCAGTAAACTAATATTTTTACTGGTCCTCAATCCCTTTCACTAGCCACTATCTTGCCAACTTCGAAAGGCCCAAATACCATATGTGTGACATGCTAATCATGCAGGCCATCACCGATGAATTAACACTGACAGATACAGAAAAATCGTTCTGTTGTCTCTGTATTAAATTATGCCGCGAAATATAAATACAGGAATCTATTTGTATGTACAGTGCACACAATACGATGTTCGGTACGATGTTTGGTTTTCCGGAAAGATCGTTTTGTGGAACATTTCTATTGAATCCTTTCCGAATAAGGTAGGCCAGTTAGAGCCTAGCCTAGACGCTAATATAGGCTTAGCATAGCCAAGTCAGTGAATTCGTTATGACTAGCCTACGAAAAATTAACATATTATTTAACATATAATACGTACAGTACCTGTTGTTTAGCTGTAGTGCACAGCAAATTGAATTATACTGTACCAATAAAATGAATGCTTTTATATTGTTTTTATGTGCATTTTCGGTCTGACATGTTTTCTAAATTGCGTTGTAAATATCAGGTCGCGCCTCCTAAACTCTGCCCGCTAATTGGTTAATTTTTTTCGTGGGTTCATGTGGCTGGGCAAAAATCCCATTGCTTGGCTGTCATGACGTCAGATCGCCCAAACTTTCATAGTGCGTGACAGCTTGCTTAATTTTTAATTAAACAAATTTATTAAAATAATTAAGAAACCCTCGTGGTTTTGTTTTAGAGTCAAATCTAAAATAAATCTTATTCAAATTTAAAAGTCATTCTCTGCAAATTTCCTCTGTAATTAGCAATGTTTTTGGGGAATGTGAGTGTAATTTACATGTAGACTGATATATGAATCTAATGACATACCAAATCCGAATTAAACGTCTACTGAAAAAGAGCCATCGTAGAAATAATTCCTTTTTCATTTCAGGTTAATTACAATCAATTTTTAAGTATTAATAAGGCGATAATGCACTTTATTAAACAAAGGAAGGCGTAACTATCACATTATCCAACATTTTACTGGTGTGTCATTTTAATTAATAGATAATCTCTAATCTTCGTAGCTGACATTAACATGACAATAAACAGAAAATAGCGATCTTGTTGACATTATCTGCGTGAAATATTTTGTAAAGACTTCGTTAAGAGGTAAATGAGTAAAACTTTAGGTATTTTGTCTGACTTGCATTGAAATTTTAACTGGTCATGCGGACTTGTTATTGGGATAATTAACAGGTCCGCCATACATTTTACTAGCCTGTAAAAATGGTAAGGAAAGAATAAAAAGAAAACAAAAGGAAAAGAAAAAAAAATAAATGTAGGAAAAGAAAGAAAATGAAAGGAAAACAAGGAAATTACAGGAAAGTATAGAAATAAATTGAAAAGAAAAGAAAAGAAAAGATAGGAAAAGAAAGGAAAGTAAAGGAAAGTATAGAAAGATAACAAAAGGAAAAGAAAAGAATATAAAGGAAAAGAAAATTGAAAAGGAAGAGAATAAAAAGAAAATAAAAAAGTAGAAGAAAGATATGGAAATTTATGGAAAGCAGTTACCAATGAATCAGAAAATTGTTTAAATAAAAAAAAAAAAACTAACTGTAACTAGTAACCATTGGTATGGTACGAATGCGGGTGTGTGGAGGGACAACAATTGGATGCACACATTCTAAAAAATTAGGTTTAGTAAGGGATAGTTTTAACATAAATTATAATAGGTAAAGTATGGCATGTAAATAGGGTAGGAAGACACAACATTGAATAGACATTGCATCTATGAGATGGCTAGATGTCATTTTTTAAATGATGTCTAAATAAAATAATAATAAATACACATACACCGATTTGATGTCAGTTCACATTTCAGGGCTTGCCAAACTGGGATTTAAGATTGTTAATAAATAAAAGGTATTTGTAAAATAATAAACGATGCTATAGATAGTTATTATATTTTTAGCAGTTCATATTTGTCAAATAAGTTTGGGAAACCCTGTGTTAAACCAGAAGAATAAGAAGTGCAAAAGGAAGGAGAAGAATAACTATTATGAATTTAATTATGTTTGCTTATACTTTCTTTATCTAGTTTTAATGCTCAGTCACTATTAAAAAAAAAAAAAAAAAAATAATCAAAATATTTGATTTGTTAAGGGTTTGTTAAGGAATGTCTATACAGTCAACTCTCCCAATACCGACCACCCTTCGGACCGTCCACTTTGACCGGTTTTCCGGACGGACCGGTTTAGAGAACTTCATGTTTACCTACCTTGGTTCCCCGACCTTGAGTCGATAATAAGCCTAGGCCTAGCAAGGTACAGCAGATAGGTCCACCACACTGCATCATGTACTGTGTAGGCCTACTGACCTGAGAACGTCATTTAAAATTCTTGTTTTACTTTATTTTTACATTATTTATGTTGTACGTACCTATTTTTTTGTGTCGAAGTCTATTATCAATAAAAATTTACACAAATCAACTTAATGTGTATCGTAATTTATAATAAGTGTCATTGTTATTTTTCGTTCGATCGCCATAATCTGCTTCACTTCAACGTGGTTGCATGCTTGATTGGTTTTCGATGCCACTGGCATAACCTTGGTGGGTCACTGAATGCTGAAATTAGTGCTAACTTATGCAGCGCCCCCTAAACTGCATCAGCCAATAGAAAACAGTCAGAGGTGACAGTCAAAGTGTCATGCGCAATTGTTTTTATGAAATCGATAGCCTTATGTTGGGACCGCTTGGTTTGCCTTAGCGTGAGAATGAATGCAAAATGTGAGAAAAGGATACGTTCCTTAATGAAGAAAACACTCATGAACTTTTTTTTTATCAGTTTATTAAACAAATAAAATCTAGGCTTATTGCAATTAATTAATTAATGCGCTATCGGTGTGTCACACGATCAACACTAACGATCGTACACGTGGTGTTGTTCTGTGATTGATAGTTGTTATTTGGAGTCCGTCGATGTGTCTCCAATGATTTATTTAACATATTTCGTCAATAAATCATCCTTTTAAACTGGCCGTCCGGTTTTCAGAAGGTAATTTTATTGTTCCGGACTTAAGTATTTGGCCGGAATTCGGAATTGGGAGATCCGGTTTTTAGAAAGTATTTTAATACAGTAAGAATAGGAATGATTTTGGGACTTTAAAAAACGACCGGTTTTGCGTGAAATCCGGTTTTCTGGGTGGTCGGTATTGGGAGAGTTGACTGTAGTACTTTCTTTATCTAGTTTTAATGCTTTTATAGTCACCATTAAAAAGAAAAACAAAAAAAGTCTTTATATTTGACATCCTAAACTGTCCTTCATTATTATTTTTGTTTTATTGTATATGGTCATTTTAAACTGCTAACAAATTTTACAGGTTGACCTACGTGTAATAATTGCTTTACAGGTACCTGTATATTCCTTAATTCCATTTTGGATGTAACAGTTGATAACTGAACTTAAAATTGATGACAAAACTTACTTGATCCCTCCTAGGGCTTCAAAGGAATTATTTTTAAACTTAACATAATAGAGTCAATTTTCCGTTAACTGTTGGGAAATCTGTGCAAATATGAATGAAGTAAATTACCAAATCTATTTATCAAAATGTAGCAAGTAGACCTACAGGTCACATGACTATATGATAGTAGAGATATGCCATGTGATTTGGAAAATGGAGACAATATATATTTCCGTTAACACTTGAAGCCTTCGAAATGCATTGAAGCCTCCGAAACATTAATAACCTTAAATACCATTTTTCAACATTTAGACTGATGTGTATCTTGAATCTGAATTTGAATTATAAGCTGGGTTGTGGAGAATTTTATAGAACTATACCTAGCTAACTATTAAGTTAATCTTTTTAAAGAATTACCTATAAGTTAAAAAACTTATTTTAGAGGCTTCAAACACTTGTTAACACCATAGATTCTGTTGCTTTTAGTTTTAAAGTTAGGAATATTTTTATAATTTCATGCTATATATATTTGGTTTTGATCTGCTAAAATTATAGGAATGAATTTCTGGGTGGTTTGTTTTACTGGCATATAAGTAACTAGTAATATGGATTGCCATTATTCAGAAACCTAATTAGTATTTATTGTTTTCTAACTCTTGACACTGCAAGAATAATTTATCAAATAATAAAATAATATTGCACACATACTTTGTTTAGGCTTGAAAACAATTCAGGATATAAACCATCTATATTTAAGTGAAATTTCTCAATACATTGACAAATTATTAAGAACTTTTAAATGATTTTCTGAATGGTCTTGGAGGCTTTATTTTATGTTGAGCTGTGAGAACTGGTGTGGGTCCAGATATTTGCCAGAAGGGTCGTCCAGAAAGAAAAAAAGGGGCACTCTTGTATAAATGACAGAACTTTAAATGATGTGAGGAACCGTCTTCTATCTTGTCACGCTCCCACTGTTTGAGAGACTTGAAAGCCAAAAATAATATTAAATTAGCCTGAAAACTATTCTCATAAATGAATAACCGCCCCCCCCCCAAAAAAAAAAGAAAGATAAATTTAAAAACTGCTGGCTATTTATCAGCATCTGTATAGTATAATTATATATCATTTTCATTTAATTTCATTTTTTGTAAGATACCGGAAAGATAGTAAAACTTGGATTGTACAGTACTTGCTAAATTTGTGATAGATGTAGACATTACTTATTTGTCAATGTATTAAATTATTTTTGTACCGGTAATATGTTCAATTTTTATATATTATTCCGTTATATTTAGTTGTATCAGCCGTACTCACTGAAGTGGTACGTTCTACTTACCTAAATACTGAATATTACTCTGCTCCTTCCACTGTGCTGTACTAACAAAATTTGAATAATGTTGCTTTTGTAGTGTGACAAGTCCTCATCCAATATTTTGTAGATTCATGTTAGTGTAAAATTTTTCTTTACGATATAAATGGACAAAAAAAAATGTCTTCAATAATGTTAAGACACAACAGAATGGTGCTATGATATATTCAACAACTGTGCGCAAGTATGGATGGTAAATCCTAACAAACTTTGTCTTTAATCAAATGAAATTAGTATATGATAATACTAATAATTATAAATATAAATCATTAATAAATTATATGATAACAAATATTTATATAGCACCAATTCAAAATTTATCTAAAGCACTACAAAGTGAGGAAATATGGAAAGTTCAACATTCCTGTAATAAATAAATTTTTAGATTTTTCAAAAGCAAATTAGGCTACTGTAACTATACATGTATATTTAGAACATTGAAATTGAATTTTATATAATTCAACTTGTAAATAAAATTAAAAGTGAACGTACTGTAGTAATGTATTCCTTACATTAATAAGATTAACAATTCAAGCTTACAGTACTGTATAATCAATTTCATATAGCCTGAATGAGTTTTAACCTAGGCAATCCTTCCTAAAAAGGTACACTTTCTTCATCAGAACAGGGCCGGCAGAACTTTTTTCAAAGTGGGGGGGGGGGGCACTTATAAGATGAATGGGAATATGAATCATGCAGATCTGGAAAAACCTAGGGGATGAGGTCAACATTTTTCCCAAAAAGGAAAGGGGATCCTGGGGTCCTCCCCCGGGAAAAGTTTGAATTCTAGATGGCAGGAAATGACCTTTCTCGACTTTTGAGCTAGGTTTCTAATGACTTTGTTCTTCAAAATTCAAGGTTTCCCCCTCTTGAAAACGGTCAGGTAAACTTTCTCATTCTTATTACAGTAAATAGGCCTATTATGTGTGTATACATACATACATAAAAAAAAAAAACATTTGTTGTTGCATACGTATTCTTTTTTTCAATGAATCGATAAGCTCCAAAGAAAAGGAGCTGGGATCCCGGGGTTCTCCCCCGGAAAAATTTTGAATCCTACTGTAGATGGCGGGAAATGAGTTTTTCAGACTTCTGAGGTGTCTTAATTACTTTTAAGTTCTTCAAATTCAAGGTTTTCTCCTCTTGAAAACAGTCAGGTAAATTTATCACATTGTTTATTACAGTAGATAGGCCTTATGTGTGTATACATACATAAACAAAAATTGAGTAGTTGCATACGATTTTATTCCATGAATCCATAAATTCCAAAAAGAAGGGGGGGTCCGGGGGTCTCCACAGGGAAAATTTTGTTCTTCAAAATTCAAGGTTTTCCCCTCTTGAAAATTATTATAATGAATCAATGAACCCAAAGAGAAAAGGGAGGTTCAGGTTCTTCCCAGGAAAATGTTAATTTCTAAATGGTGGGAAATGAGCTTTCCCGACTTCTGAAGTATCTTTATTATAGCGATTTTAATTTAAGTTCTTCAAAATTCAAGGTTTCCTCTCTTGAAAACGGTCAGGTAATTTTTTTCCCAAAATCCCGAAAAGAAAGGGGGTCGGGGGTTCTCCCTTGGAAAAATTTTGATTCCTAAAAGCGGGAAATGAGCTTTCCCGACTTCTGAGGTGTCTTTTAATTACTTCTAATTTCTTCAAAAATAAGGTTTTTCCCCTTTTGAAAATGATTCAATAGAACCACTGAACCCCAAAGAAAAAAGGGGTCCGGGTTCCCCCGGGAAAATTTTGATTTCTAGAATGCGGGAAATGACTTTCCCTGACTTCTGAAATGTCTTTTAAATTACTTTTTAAGTTCTTCAAAATTCAAGGTTTTCCCCTCTTGAAAATGGTCAGGTAAATTTTTCTCATTTTTTTATTTTATGTGTGTATACATACATACATAAATAAATGAGTAATTGCATGCGTATTCTTTTTTTCCATTAATAATCAATCCCAAAAAGAAAGTGTGATCCGGGGGTTCTCCCCCGGGAAAACTTTAATTCGTAGATAGCGGGAATGAGCTTTCCCGACATTTGAAGTGTGTTTTAATGACTTTTATGTTCTTCAAAATTCTAATTTTCCGTTTCTGCCAGCCATGCAGAAGGCTTCTACGAATGGAATGACCTGTTTGAAGCACAAACTCCTGTAGACTAAATCTAGTACTGTTATGATTTTTAATTGTACGGGAAATCTACTTGTATTGCATATTGGACATTTATAAATGTAATCCAGTACATAGACTATCATTGTTAGGTGTCTGTTGCAATATTGACTACTAAAAGTAATAAAAGATTATATGATACATTTTGCAGGTTTAAGGATGTAGTTATGGGAGAGTGGGGTGAAGCCACCCAGCCTTGGAGTTTTCCATCCAGTCTAAACCTAATTTCATGGCTCTCCACCCACCCTTAATTAACCCACACTTCCATCCTTAAAATCAACTCTTATTAGAGTAGGGGTATGCATAAAAACCAGTTGGAAGGCAGTATTGCAGTACACCATTAAAGTAGTGTAACATAACCACATTTTTTTTAACTTTTAAGGTGGCAACAGATAGGGGGTTAAGATAGGGATTTTTCTCATCAGAGAAGCTGCCTAGACCCCTCTCACATTCCATTTTTTTTCGTTGTTTTCAAAAAAGAAAAAAAAAAACGAACTAAAATACCCTCAATTTCAGACATTTTGCATCGGTCATGCGTGACCAACACAGTAATTTTTTTTTAGTTGGCCTCATTATGAACTGATAGTATTTTGTATTGTGATCATGGAAGGAATCTTGACTTTACTGAGTTGACATTCCATGAAGTCATATTATGTGAGGCCGTTTGGCGCATGTGGAATGTAGTGATTTTTTCTCTTGACATTAATGTCGGGAGTTTAAACGCTACGCTGTCCATTGGCTTGTGTCCTGGCAAGACAATTTATCCACATTGTCCACCCATGTGTATAAGTGGGTACCTGGGTACGCATTAATTATGCGCTGACTCAGCAGCAGTGGCGGCTCAAGGATATAATTTATGGGGGGGGACTAAATGTTTATGGGTGTAACTATAGCACGCAGCGTTATCTGAGGGCCGAAGTCTAGAGCCAGAGGTGGGTATGGGAAGGGGTACCCCCTCCTCCCAAATCAAAATATTTTTCTTTAAAAAATTGGGACTTCCAGATGGCCGGAAATGGCTGGGATGGGAAAACTAGGCCTATTTTTTTTTGTTTTGGTCTGACTGCCCGATATTTTTTTTTTTTTTTTTTTGGGGGGTCCGACTGCCATACAAACTTATGCGCTATATAAGAATCCATTTATTAATACAGTAATTATAATTGATGCCTATATAAGAATAACTAATAAAATTCACCAAAGTTTGTAAAATATCTAACCAGCCAGAACTCTGCTTCGAATGGAACACTATAATGGAACACTATATATTTACACGGCACTGTTTGTGTAAAATAAATTTAAATTTAATATTTTGTATTGTAATTTGTAGAATTATTATTTATTTTAAAATTTTCAATATTTCAGAATATGAAGGAAATTGAGAGTGATCTTCAAGCCATGAATACACCACCACCGACCTTGCAGCAGGTAAGGAAATGATTTTCTAATTCATAAAACCATTGAAAGTGAAAATTATTTGTTAATTCTGTACAAGTACTGTACTGTGCTAATTTTACATTTAATTCTTAATAAGGTAGAAAAACATAATAAATTTTTTACTATATTTATCATCGAATTATAAATTTTCTTCACATTAATTAAATTTTATAATAATAATATTAAAATGTTGAAGATAGTAGTAATAATTTCATTAATTTTTTAATATTATATATTCTAGGTCGCCTGAGGCCCCTTAAAGGGGTTTTAATAGGATTCTGAAAAACGCATAATACATTTTTATGACTAACTTTCTGCAAATATTCATTTGATTATTGGGTAAAATGTTTTGGGCTTCCGAAAAATAGCAAAATTGTTTGAATTTTTGACCTAGGTCAAAGGTCATGTTCCCCAAAATTGCATTTTAGGGGCCCAAAAAAGGGTACTTTTTCCCCATACACCCCATGTAAACGACACTAAAGAAATTCCTATGCTCATAAATGTTACGCATTATGTGGAATATGTTGTTTTCTACAGAAATAAAATGTGATTTTTTTTTAAGCCCAAGGTCACAAAGGCCATTGAGGTCATAATTTGGGGAATAGCCTCTATCACACACCCCCTCCCCCGATAGAGGGCAAGTAAGCCTTGCTTGGCCTACATATGCTTACAGTATTTCTAACTAGGGTGGACTACTGGACCTAAAACTAGTAGTACACTTGACTTGATAATAATAGAGAAGATGGGGGTAGGGGTATTGAAATACGAGATGACCAAACCCGAAATGAACGTTTGCAGGCCTATGCCTAGCATTACTGGTTGCGCTGCTAAAGTTTCTAGTTAAAATCTTTCCTCAGATTCGTATTATGTATATTATTAATTAACTAATTAATTATTATATAAACAATCCCGCTATCCTCGTCTATCCAAGTACATCAATCACTGACAGAAAAAAATGCCAATTCTTGCTCTATACAATCGCTAAGCCTTGTCTAGTTACTATGACGTTAGGGAACGGTAAATTACTCCGTATGGGTTACGGACCTCAAAGGGTTAAAACAATTTTGAAGGCCGATTTCTCAAAACAGTTCTTTAAACAGCAGTATGTTTAAACTCGTGTAACTTCATAATGAAATGTTGGATTTAAATGATTCTCTTACCATTCTGTAGCTCTGATTTTACTGTTGAACCCTCTATTAATAACTAAAAATCAATATTTCGCTTGTTGTAATCTTATTTTAAGAAGTTATTATTGTAATACTGTATTTTAAGTTATTTTTAATTTAATTGTAATATCATAATTATATATTTCTTGTTCTCTATATTTTCCAGGAAAACACAGGCACACATTTGTTGTGGATTGTGAAAACAAGCAATCAGTAAGAGTTTGGTATTGCATGAAGCAGATAACTAATTGGAAGTGCACACTGATTTGTTGGAAGCTTGGATAAATCAGGGAGTTGTTACCAAAGAAGCCGATGTACTGTGGCAAACTGACGCTGATATAAATAAGGTTGAGCAAATAAAAGGAATTGTGGGAAATCAGGACTGATTAGTTTGAACCCTGGAAGCCGAACCTTAGCAAAGTCGGACTTTGAGATAAGTGTGTGAAGTCAAATTTCAACGTATAATAATGAAGCAGTGAACTTTAATAAAAATAGACTGATTTGTTTGAATTATACTGGTACCTGAAGCTTAGTGAACTCTGATGTACGAAGCAGATAAAATGTGGAAAGGCATTTGTTGTGCATTCATAGAATGAATGATTATGACTGTTAGCCATGTAGAGATTGTGGTCTACTTCATTAAGTTAGTGCTGGCCTTTCAAAATGCTGATGTTTTTGTCCGATTCTGGACCTAGTTAAATAGAATGTTGGTCCGATTCTGAACTTAATTTAAATGGCTTATAGATAAAATTCTGAACTTTAGTTAAAATGTTGGTTCAATTCTGGTATGTACAGTAGTGTAAATTATTGTTCCTATTCTGGGCTTAGTTAAAGTCCTGGACTTAGTGTAAAATGTTGTCCAATAGTTAAAATTCTGGAATTGGTGTAACTAATTGTCCTATTGTATTTTTTGTGTAAATTATTGGTCCTATTTTGGACTTGGTGTAAATGGTTCAGTCCTATTCTGGACTTTAGTGTAAATTATTGGTCCTATTTTGGACTTACTTAAAATTCTGCATTTAGTGTATTTGTAAATGGTTCAGTCCTATTCTGGACTTAGTTAAAATTCTGGACTTTAGTGTAAATTATTGGTCCTATTCTGGACTTAGTGTAAATGGTTCAGTCCTATTTTGGACTTAGTGTAAATGGTTCAGTCCTATTCTGGACTTAGTTAAAATTCTGCATTTAGTGTATTTGTAAATGGTTCAGTCCTATTCTGGACTTAGTTAAAATTCTGGACACAACACAATGTTGAATAAAACTGTCTGCAACACCATTTTCATTGTACTACAACTCATTTGTAGTGTACTGTATTTCAAACGACACATACTGTACAATCCAATAAATCTTAACGAAACTTTTTTGGAAAATTTCGTCAGCGTTTCGCGCAATAAGACAGTTGGGATTATCCAAGCGGAAGCGATCGCCCATCATAGGCGATCGCCACGCGTGGAACCTACGCGCCACCCACCACCCTTGGCCCCGCTGAAAGATATATATGCCTCTCAGAAGTT